TCTCTAACTACAACTAACCCCTTAATTAGGTTTAAGCATTTCGTAACAAATTATCGAAAGCCGTCGGTTAAACAAATTTGAGGCTAAGCCACTCATCGGAAGTAGAGTAGAGAACAAGTGTTACACGATACTAATACAAATTATTAATTTTATAATTACTAATACAATGTTAGTACAAATTATAAATAATCCATAAAGTTTTACAAGTTACTTAGGTTTCGAGCAGTACTATACTGAGTTGGTTGTATATTTGAAGAAGTTCAAAAATAATTGCTTCAAATAAAGCCATTTTAAGTGGTTACTTCAAACAATAAAATTTTCATTTAAAAAAAATTCCTAGGCTTTGACATATAAATATGTATGTATCATATTTTGTATAATTGTTATGTTTCAGGTATATTTAGGGTTATATATAGTCTACAAATATATTCTTTATTGGTAATTTATAGTTGTATTCACTATGGATATTATTACAAGACTAGGAAAGAATATTTATGCAATAAGAAATAAATATTTATAAATATCTATCAAGTCAGATCAAGCTTGACGAAATATACCAAAAGCTCTCGTTGATAAGCCTCAAATTTTAATCGAACACTACCTGCCGCCCTGCCCTTTTGATATTTTGATAAAAAAGTAAATGCAGAGGTTGTTCAGTTTCACTACATATAGAGATAAATATGCATGCACATACATATACACATGCACACCTAAGTACATAAAATATTTACTTCTATTTTTTTTTTATCCGTTGTACATTTTTCAGCCACTGTCACCACTGATTTGTGCTTTCGTTTTATGCCGCTTGACGGTGTTTGTCTTAATACCAAATATTTAATCCTATTAAAGCTCACGCTATTCGAATTGGAGCATAATTTCATCGGTATTGTTCAATCATCGCCCAAATGCCTAATCAGGCGCAAACAAGGTGTGACAAAAGGGTGTTTTCGGGGGCCTTAAACCGCACTTACACTGCATACGTAAATATTTTGCCAGTTATTTGTATATGTGTGTGTATTAAATAAATATATGGTATATGAGATTTTCCAAGGTGTTCAATATAAACAATGAATATATAAATTATAAGTACGCGCACTCAGTAGAGGCGAAAAGTAAAACGAAAATAAAATTCAAAGAGAATTAAAAAATCAATTATTTTTCTACTACACTTACTGCTTAATCCAATCTATCGCGGATTGATTTTTATTTCAAAGGGCTTAAACGCATAAGTATGACTGTTGACATTTACACATATGGTGTAAATATGTATGTACATAAATAGGCATATGTGTATGTATGCATATCAGAATATGAAAATATTTAAGAATGTGCATGCGTATCCGGTGTATTGAGCGATAATTAGACGAAATTTGTATTAAAATGTATGTGTGTTTTAATATTAATTCATTATTACTTACTTTTTTAATTATTTTTTATTTTTATTATAATTATTTCTGTTTAATTTAATATTATATTATTATTTTTTTATATTTTTTAAAATATTTATTTTAATTTTTGCGTTTTCTTAAATTTAATCTTTTTATATTTCATTTTTTAGAACTTTTTAATTTTTAATTATTATAATTTTTTGTATTATTCTTTATTTTTATTTCTTTGTATACTATTTTTAATTATTAATATAAAATTTAAAATTTATGGGAGTAGTTGTAAACTGAAATAAATTAAATAAAAAATTTAATTAAATATAATATTAGCCGGTATACAACCAAACGTATAAAATATAAAAAATACTTTTAAAAATATTATAAAAAAAAGTATATACACATATGTATATATTAAAATACAAAAAAAAAAACATTTAAGAATTTTTAATCGGCTATTATATAATATATATATTTGTTTATTTTTTTATTTTTTTACTTTAAAACTTAGATGGTATTAAAACCAAACATAAAAAATACAAAAATAAAAAAATTTTATAGTTTATTAAAATTAAAAAAAATTAATAATTGATTAATATTAAAGAAATTTCAATTAAAAAAATGTTTAATATATTATTGAATTTGATTATTAATTTTTTTTTTTGATATTTATTTATATTTTTGTATTTTTTTATTTATTTGGTTTAATACAGTCTAATTTTTGAAATAAACTTTTTATTTCATTTATTTCAATTTATTGTTAAAAATTTGTCTATTTTTGCTTTTGTGGTATTATTGGTTTCACACCTTTATATTTATGGTTTTTTTTATCATTTAAATTTATTAAAAATATTATAAATTTACAAAGTTAAGTTTAGTATATTTGTGTACTATATTGTATAAATCCATAACAATTTTAAAATAAATCTAGAAGGATCATTAATTTATGTGCATGGCAACGCTGAAGCTGTCATTAAATTTCCCATGTTTTATCTTTAACAGAAATAGTGGTTTTTTTGACAACCGCCAATCTATTACCAAACATCAAACACCGCAATCTATTACGTTAATGCTGTTTTGTTGACGGGTTTTACTTGTTTTTATTTCAAATTACTAATATGTAGTAAAAATGCTTTTTGTTTAAAATTATATCAAACTATATTTGCTTGTGAAAATTATTCGGTAGGAACATAAAGTAGGCGAGAAATAAAGTATTCCTTACATTCTTAGTTCAAAATGCTAAAACAAAACTATATATTCCTATTTTAATTTTTGTGATAACGGGGCTTAGTTTTCATTAATTTGTTTCTTCTTTTTGCGTAGGTTCTATTGTGTTTTAATTGTTTAAAAAGCTCGTGACGCGTTTTAATAATATTAAAAAAAAAAGGAAACCAAAGTAAAAGAAATTAGCTTGACGGAAAGAAAAATTATCATTAAGTTGTGGAAAGATGACAAAAGTTTCAGACAAATTGGGCAAACTATTGGAAGAACGTATTCCTCCGTCTAGCGTGTAGTAAACAATTTATAAAAACCGTAGGTAACGGTATTTTCAATTCAAGCAAACTTTTTAGCCTATATTTATTGGTTGTTATATAATAAAAAAAATTCCGCTATCTCAAAAATGAAAATAGGAATATACATTTTTGTCTTTTGAACTTAAGAATATAAAAAAAAGTACATGTTTCAAATTTGAACTGAATTACCTATTAACATTGTGTTTTCACTTCACTTAAAAAAATGTGTCGGTGAACGCAGACTTTATTGGATATGTGTATATTTACAGAGATGATCTAGTACAAGGTAGTAAAATTAAAAGAAGATTACTGAAGAAGATTACTGACACCTCACACTTTTTTCAACTGATCTGCAATAGCAACTCTATATAAAGCCGGCTTTTAATAGTGCCACTCATATTCTAAAATTAAAAACATAAGGAGAGAACTAACATATTAATGAAAATTAACTGAAAAGTTTAGACTTAAATTTATACATATTTTACATTATTGAAAACTCAGTTTTGTTTTTAAAAAAATTACTGCATAAAATGTTTGGAGGATATGGTTTTATATAATTAATATAGACAAAATTCTTATTTTTAATTTTTTTACGAATTATGCACTATTTCCCAAGTTACTAAGAGAAAGTCCTCCACTGCTGTAGTGAAATCAAAAACAATATTTTTTTCGAAATTTCACACTAGGCATGCTCATTAAAAAAAACTATACAACTTAGCTGAATACAAAAAGGGTATAAATGCCACTGACACGAGTCGTTGATATGAACGCTTGATAAAGACAAAACCTAAAATTATTTTATAAAAGTTAATTCAGAGTATAGTTTCTAGAAAACTGCAAACCTCTGAATATATTTTTAGACAAAAAAAAAAACGTTTGATAAATATTCATCACTGTTGCATACCAAAAATAGAACGAAAACCTAAATATTCACTTGGAGGAGGTATGATTACCAACTTTTGTACTGCCTTTTGCATATATGCATGTACAACAAATGTTTAAACTCTTGCAATATGTTGCTACAAATTATAATAGTTTTGTTCACCTAATGGTTGTTTGTATCACCTAAAATAATCGAGGTTGATATGGAGTTACAGTCAACCCTTCTTGTATAATGCGGTACTCTTCAGAACGCGGTTTCCGTCAACAGCATCCCATAAGTTCCTTCCGCGTAGCCTAAGCTGTTTAGTTCGTTAGGGCTTATTTGAATTATAAGGAAACAGATAGCGCCAGTTTGTAGGTCTAGACAATTTGACCACAACATAATAACTAGATATGTTTACATAAAGATTATCTCTGGCTTATTTCATCATTTATAATTGTTTTGTCCCTGCAGTGGAAACCCATACCATGAAAAAAAAGTTGTATTTCAAAGTTTTATTGGTTCTTGATAACGCTGGTTTCCACAACATACAACTGGATCATCCAAGTGTAAAATTTGTCTTCCTTCCTCCTATCTGCACGTAATTAATACAACCTTTGGACCAAGGAGTCATTCCAACTTTAAAAATGTATTACACACGCCAAGTATTCCAAATCATTTTCGACAGATTAGAAAGTAGTGAAAATAAAACCCTTATTCAAGTTTGGACTGAATTTTATTATGGATTGTATTAGAACCTTGTCATCGGCTTGCGCGGAAATTAAACCATCAACGCTTAATGCGGGTTGGAAACCCTTTTACCTGAAATGGTTCAAGCAATACAAGATGATTCTGCAATTTCACTCCCAGTTACAGAAATAGTAAACATTGCCTCTCGTTTAGGAGACGAAGAATTTACAACAAACCATCAGGATGTAAGAGAACTCGTACTCGGGAAAGAAACTTTAGATGAGGATGATCCATTGGTAAACGAAAATAAGGAAAACGAATGGGTACCAAATGTTGGCTAAAGAATTAGAACTGAAACTGATCATTCAACGGTGCGTAGCGCAAAGTTTAAAAGAGAGTTAAGAAATTGCTTAGCTAACTATAGAGAGGTTTTAGTGGAGTTAGAAAAAAGCTACAATCGAAAGATTAAATTTTACAAAAGTCTTTCTAGTTTTTGTTGGAAAACAGTTTTTCAGTTTAGTTTTAGTATCATTTCTCTATATAAACTCTTCAATTCAATAAAAATAATTTATAATTTATCTTGGCCCTATTGGTTTCCATAGAAAGCGCCACGAATTAGCCTGGTTTCCATATAACGCGGAATGACATTCTTTCAAATTTCCCAGATCAGTAGTACCGATGAATCAAAATGCACGCACCTCGATATCCATTAAGTATGTACGTGAATCGATGCACCCAATCATACATTATAAATTCCTTATCTCACTTTCTTTCAAGCCATAAAATAATTAAATATGATATAAATAGTGTGGGCGCTATTATCAGAAGCAGTAGTGCATTGGTTTTTATGGACCCCGATTGTGACATATAACGGTGATAAAAAAAAACCATAACACCAAAGAAAAATAGGAAAATTAAGAAGAAGAACGAGTGAAAGTGTGGCATAAAACACAATAATGTGAAGTTGTTACCAAACATAAGTCAACAATAATTTAATTACTGTTAATAACAACCAAAATTAAAAAGGCGAAAAGGCAAAGAACAGTGCCACTTGTGGGTTAGTAATTAGAAACAAAATTAATTAAAGCGAAGAAAAATGCGAAGAAACGAATTCGAAAACAGCACTTATAATGCGCAAAACACGCTTCCCGCAGCTGTTTATGTGGAGAATTCAACTTCCGATTCTACGATCAAACCGTACGATCATACAGAGGTGGAGGATTTAAAAAGCAGTCAGACTATTGTCACCGATTCAGATACAGTTAGCAACTCAAAACAACAGTTAAATCCATTGCGACGCATTTTCATATTGGAACCGCCCATATTTCTTTTGAATTTCGCCACATCATTATCATGTAAGTTTGCCACGGCATATATTATATTTGCTAACAAAAACTCAATGCATTTTATAGAACAACAACTGCAACAATGTTTGATATTTAATACTTTCAGCGGTCGTATTTACCAATCAATTACTTTATCAGTCCTGCAAAGTTATATTTGGACACACAGAAGCCGAATGCGAGCCAATGTTGGGCATTTCGAATGCAACAATAGACCATGTAAGTAAATAAAAGAAATTGAAATATGTATGAATATAGGTACATAAGGGCGTGTTCAGACTAAATTAGATTAGTTTGGTACGCTAAGAAGCCACACAGAGACCAGTTTGGGTCTTTAGCGATACCAGATGGAACACCGTCACGTAGTCTAGGAGTAGTAGTCATCCTTTAGTATATCAGCGCTTGACACGCATTTTAACAGGAAGAGGTATCGTGAATGAGGCCAAATATTCACGATACCTCTTCCAGCGTCTCATACCGTGGATCCCTCAAATGCTTAAAGCGCTGCCGTGCCAATGCGGTACAAGTCCGCAAAAGATGCTCCATTGTTTCACTGGTGGCTTGCTCTTGACATTTCCTGCAGTCTTCACAAACTGTCAGCTCCATTCTGCATGTATGTATGTATGTACGTGTTGCCACCAGACTGCCTTAGACGTTTCAATGCATCTCTGGCAATATTTCATAACTTTTAAAAGTCTATAATAGCCATATTCGATACTCCACACTCTGCTCGCTATTATTAGCATTGATTTCGTTTCTTTAATTTTCCGTTTGAAAAGTTATCGATATAACAGAGAAACAACAACTGCTGAGAGTGTATGAAAGCCTAATAAAATCGTGAAATAGCTTGTCATTATATTTCAATACGTTCATTTCTACTTGAGCGGTTATAATTATTATTTTTTAATTTTTATATTTAAAACTGAATGATGCATTTGGCAATAAACACATGTCTCAATTCAGTTATTTTTATGCATTTGAATTTATCTTTATATATTTTTATGTTTGTGAATATTTTACCCTGATATCAATATATGACTGCATACTTGTACATATATTTCAGAAAATCGGTGAACATCCAAGCACGTATTTAAACCACTATCAAGCATAAATACTGTCAAATAATAATTTATGAGTACTTTCGACTGTTGTTTTTGTAAAAACGGTATTCAACCGCTTAATTGACGGACTACGCAATTGATTTTTTACTGGAGTAACTTTTTACGTACAAAAAACAAAATGTCCAGCAAATTTTATATACTTTTTCTAAATGAAAATAATAGCTGACTTCGATTTGCCACTTTGCAAAGATTGAACTCTCGTAAAAAATTACGCGCGAAAGCAATGAGTCGGTTATTCAATTGAAATCAAACAATAGGGTATTGTAACCAAACACCTCATAAAAGTGGTATAATTGTTCGCCATTCTATATGTCATATATATACCTTTGGTTATACCAATCGATTTGTTTTACACCAATGGTTTGTTCGGTTCGCCATTCTCCAAGCGCAGACGATTAAAATGATTTTATCCGCTTGACTGTTACCGTCAATTGAGCGATATTTTATCGTGATATCGGTGATTAAATCATTAGTGAGTTAAAAGTCGTGTTAATTCAACCGAAAATTAGCACAATTTAAACAGCAATTAACTACAATATTTTTTGTTGTTGCTTTCTTACAGGACATCGAAAATCAAGTGCAGCCTTATGTCTCACGCATTATATTAGCCAATTCATTGATTTCCAGTATTATGCCCGCAGTGTTAGCGCTCTTTATTGGTGCATGGTCTGATCGTTTTGGACGTCGGCCGGTGCTTTTGATTTCACTAATTGGTAAGTATATGTTTTTGACTGCACAATCATTAAGAATATATACTTAATTATACATTGAATATGGTAATAATCTATCTCTAAAGCTAACCTAAGCTATATTTCAGGAAATCGCCCCACAGTTTCGAGTAGCACTGTTTTCCTACCACTAAAGGGAGAATTCTCGCAGAAAGTTGATTAATGTTTTTCGTATTTTTGTATCATTTTTATACTCTGAACTGATTCGATTTAGCCATACCCGTCTGTCTGTATGTATATGAACTAGTCACTCAGTTTTTTAGATATTGATCTCAAATTTTGCACCCATTCTTTACTCACCAAGAAGCTGCTAATTTGTCGGAACGGCCTAATATAGCATATACTCGTAGCTGCTGATCGACGATCGGAATAAAATGTTTGAATGCGTAAAGCTTTTTTATTTGATGTGATATCTTCCAGATATTTAGCATGGGTTTTGGGTTATTGTTTAAGGCAACGGTTAATTCTCCGAAGAAATAGTTTAGATCGAGTCAATATAACATATAACTGCCATACAAACTGACCGATCAAAGTTCTTGTAAGAAATCTTTTGTATTTGTGAAAGGTAATATTAGTTGCAATCGAAGTTAACATTTTTTCTTGTTACATATCAATTTCATGTACTATGAAATGTGATTTAAAAAATTCTATACACGTTATTTTTTCTGGGAAGTAAATAAAAAAAATATTTAAATTAGTACTTCTATATAAAACGGGTATTTAACCCTATTTAAGTTGTATTTTAAAGAATCGCTACAAAAATCAGAAAAACAATGTTAGCCTACCACTAAGGCCTAACGCGGCAAACTCTCAAGCAAATTTTTATTTCATTTTTTCTCACACTAACTAACGCTCTTTTTTTACCAGGTATTTCCTTGGGCTTTATTGTCAGCTTTATTTTGGCCATGGTCTCCGCTGAATCTCCTACTAATCCCTGGCTGTATGTTATCGCACAAATTCCTCCAGCCTTAACTGGCTCTTCTTGCGCTGTTATGATCGTCTGTTACTGTTATATCGCCGATGTGGCGCCACCACAATTGAAGGGTCTCAAGTGAGTAACCGTATATAAGTGATGCATAACTGGTTACTTTAATGAAACATTCCTCCACATAGAATGGTCTTGAATGATGCTGCCATTGGCGCTGGTTCCGTCGTCGGCACACTGGCGGGCAGTGCACTCTTCGCACACACTAGCATGCAGGTCGTATTTGTCATTTCGGCAGCAGCAACACTAATAGCCTTCATATATATATACTTCGTGAACGAGGAGAGTTTGAAGGTAGCGCACACATCTTTGGGTGTAAGTCATATCGAATATAACTGTTTTGTTTACAATTCTTACTGCGATTACTTTATCTTTTTTGCAGTATAAGCTCTGTCAATTCTTCAGCATTAATCACGTGATTGATCTGGTGCGCACCTGCATTGCCAGACGTGCTAATTACATGCGCACCTTTATCTGGTTCGCCATGATCGCTTTGATCATAACCAACTTCACAACGGGTAAATATTATTTGCCCTTTACTGCAATTTTTACAAATTTTCTAATACTTTTCTTTCACTCTAGCTGGTGAAGGCAACGTATTTTACTTGTTCTTGCGTGCCAAATTCGATGTGACTGTTAGCCAGTACAGTGACTTCAATTCAATTGGCGATGCCATACAAATTATTGGTGGCATTATTGCTGTTATTGTATTCAGGAAAGTAAGTATATTTAAATTTATGGTGCAACTGACAACGATTTAGGTATATAAAAACAACTTTTTTGTTGTGGTTGTGCAGTATTTGTGTCTGTCTATCGTCAGCATGGCCATGCTCTCTCTCCTCTCCGCAGTTTGTGAGAGCACAGTGCGTGCTTCCGCGGAGAAGTTTTGGGAAATGTACCTCGGTACGGCATTGGGCTTTATATCGGGCATTATTGCACCTATGTTGTTGACAATTCTCGCCTTCGTTACGCCCACAAATGAAACTGGCAAGGTGTTCTCCGTCTCTACTGCGCTGCAGACAATCACACCGCTCGGAGCATCACCGCTCTACACAAGTGTCTACGATGCTACACTCTCCTACTATCCGGGCATGTTCAATATCATCAGCGCATTGTTGTATTTCATTAGTTTTGTGCTTGTGACGTAAGTATTTTAATATTTTTTTAAATTTATGTATCTCAATTCACCATTTTATTTTTATTTGCAGCGTAATATTAATTGTATCGAAGCGTAAGGAGATTATCGTTAGCCCTCCAAGTCCACCTAGAGTTTAATTTGCAACTTTAGCATTTATTAGGGTAGATCGAAATGTGCCCGACGAATAAACAAATTGTTTGCTTTACAGTATTATGTGGCATTTGTTGCATTAAAGTCTTGCTGTTTATAGAAAATATTATTGTAATAAGATTTAGTTGTTGTTAATTTATAATATGTTTGTATGCATAATAGCTGCACAAATATGTAAATACATATATTACAAGTATTTACTTTCTATATAAGTATGTTTGTATATTTAAATTTTTGTAAGGAACTTGAATGGACTGCTGTGGAATTTGTAGTATATATGAAATATATACTAAACTTATTCGGCTGTCATAATCTTTTAAAAGTTTAGTTATAAAACTTAGGGCTAGGTTTAAAATATCTTAAATGTTTCACAAAATATTATAATTATTTTAAGCTATTATTTATTTTTTACTAACGACAATTTAAGAATAAATAAATTATAGTGAAGAATATAATAAACTAAAGCATTCTAAGAGAATTCAGTGATCCGATTCGAATCTTCTCAATTTTCTAAGTGCGACAAATTTCATAAACTTGGAAATTATAGAAGTAGGAATCCTGTAATAAAAAAATAAAAATTTAAAAAAGGAACGAAACATTTCATAATCTCACAATTTAAAAAGATCAAAGGCGGGGAAATACCTTCAGGTGTTGGTAAAACTTAATGGATTACAATAAAATAAAGATCTGACATAAATTAACCGAAGAGGCTAAATTGATTATATTGAATATATGTGGAAAACGTCAACCAAAAAATTGGAATTGATGATATTAAGGATATGAGAAAAAGGCCAAGGCGATGAAAATCAATTTCATTCATGTTCAGCGCTTAGCCATTAATATAATAAAGTTTGTTAGAATAACGAAAGTTACTATATGTAGTAAAATATAATTTCATTAAACTAAAGTATATCCAATATTATACGTTCAGTTAATTTTGCTAAGATATCTTACATATTGACCGATATATACGGTATAAGGCCAAGGTGAAATTCTTATATTATATTATAGTTTATGGTATAAGTGGGCTAAGGAATATTTTTACCCCGCTTGATCCAGTTTTAGTATTACGATATTTATAAGAAAAAAAAAATTAAGTTGAAAATCCGTTTATTAGGTAAATGAGGACTAGGGGAAGTATTGCACTGATTTCATCCATTTTAGGCATGCGGATACACTGTTATTACAAAGAGTTTCTGTCAAAATTTCATTAGGGTTTCCTACATATTGACGATAGATGCGGTATGAAGGCAACCGGAAATTCGAAAATATTTATATTAGGTATATGGGGACTAAGGGAAGTAGCTTTTTTAGCAAAAGTACATGTTGTCAGGACAAATATATTCTCGCCGCAATTCAACACTAAACCTCACAGATTGACAGTGAGTCATATGCACTGAGATCCATATCGTCGGAATATATTTAGGGACAGTTTTTAGGCTCGAGCTGGCACGTGTTATATGGTAATTTTTCGCATTATGACATAGATACATATAAGGATAATGTTGCCTACTGAATTTCGTTGAAATTGATCGAATTGGTCCGGAGATATGTGATTTCATCCGCCCATCGACCAACTATGTTGAACATCAAAAACAACGCTTGTTCTCATGTTGCAAGACCGGTAAAAAACTAAATTTCGCCTCACCCGCCTTATAACCCAGACCTTGCCCATTATGATTAATATTTATTTTAAGTTATTTAAAGTCTAGAAGGATAAGGACGACGCACACTGCACATATTCGTATATGGTATATATAAGTTATGTAATCAAGCACTTCAAGCTCTTTGTTTTTTATTTAATAATATTTACACCACCGGTTTCTTTATCAAAGTGATATAAGCAACATTTAAACATTTTAATACAAAAGAAAGCGATTAAAAAAAGAATTAACTCTCAAACTGAGCATAACTAACGGCTGAAGAACAATAGATTAAAGTCTGATACGCCCGTAGAAATACAAAATATTTATCTCTCAGAAATCGATGACGTTTTACTGCTACAATCAATTAAATAAGTAATATGTATTTCTAATAACATAAGAAATTCAGTTATCGACACTTGAGTTTATAACTAATTTAGTTTTGCGAATTTGGCAACAAGTTTTACATATGACTTTTATTGACATTTTTTATTTATATTGTTTATCGAATAATCACATCAATTCAGTGTCAACATTAATATGAGCTATTCCTTTTAAATAAATACACACATATGCATTTATGACGAATTACCGCTTTTAAACTTCGAAAACCAACCAAATTTAAATACATCCTCATTTTTCTTGGCTACTAGCGAGAGTAAAAGTAGCCGTTACACAACCACGAAAATTTTACTGTTTATTATATTTAGGTTAAGTTAGATTTGGCCGGTAGGCTAATTACTCTACCCTTCTGCAGGCGTGCGCCACCACCAGACAGTAACCAATAAATATTTCAATTATGCTCCTTCAGTCCATTCAATCGAGAAACATTGTCTGTTTTTGATCTATTGCTTTACACATGTATTACTACCACGCTATTTGCTTTCAATTTCAATTATATTAAGGGACACAGCTAGTGTGACCGCCTAAAAAGACAGTGATTTTTGGTAGTTTTTTAAATAAAACTAAAGCATGAAATGTTTTAAACTTTGGACATTACACCATTAATTAATATTAAAAAAAAGTCCTCCACCGTTGAAGTGATTATGGTCTTCACCGTGGTTGAAAATAAGACAAAATATAATAGATTAATAATCTATGAAGTATTGCCTTAACAATGACCAACGGTTGTTAACAAAAAATTTAACAAAATGACAGACTCCGAATAATAATGCCCAAAAATTTAAATAAAAAATATTTATAATAATAATCAAAAATTTTAGTATGTAATTTTCAAAGGTATAGTATCGATATACGCCAAAAAATATAAAATTCAGTTTTTTAAGTAAATCAGTACATAATTGAACAAGAAATAGTAGTTTGGAGAAAAACTATGACTTTTAAGATTACTCCTGTGCGAAATAAGAATTAATTTTTTGAATTTTATAGAATTACTAGCAAAAAGTTTTCTGTTGGATGCAAACCGTTGGCCGGTTTCGTTTTCAGATTTAGTTATATGCACCGGTGCAACCGAAGTGATCGTTTTTTATTGTCCTCTTTGTAATTTTGAGTCAAGAAATTAATTTTCAACTCAAGTTGAACAAACAATCATGGATTGTTTTTCTCCTATATGAGACCTTATATATTTCGCTTATTTAGCAATTAATTTATTCTTTAATTTTATTAACACTGTACGTCAAAATCAATGTTTCTCTAGAAATTTCTCAGTTTTTCAAGGTTAGCATCCAATATCGAAATATTTGTTTTCGAAATTCGAAATTGAGATTATTAAAAAATATTATTATTAATTATTCTTCAATTCCGCACACGACCACTTCGTATTGAGCTATTGTTATATTTTTGTTATACACTTCAAATCATTTGAATGGTTATTGAATCTGAATCGCTCATACGTCACGGCGAGCGAATTAGACTGGCCGTATGCCTGAATATTTTGCTTACAATTGATTTCGTGTTGGAGGCTCACGGTAGCAAAAAACATCATAATGAAATATAGAATTATAGTAATATTATAGTCCCCCAGTTTGGAAGAAGAAAAAGACTAGCTCCATTCGCCTCTAGCCGCCAAAGCGTTAAAACCCACATACAGGCATTCAAAATCCACCATGGTGAACACCAGCGGATTGGCGCACTTCTGGTGATCCTAGGCAGTTGATTGCTAGCGATAATAAAAGTACAAGCAAGCCTCTAGATCATTCATATTTTAATCTGACGGACGCGCCTCATTAGGCGGATGATGCAAAAACGTGATGTTCACATTTTGGTATTTGTGTGAATTTTCGCCGATTGCCATGCGCTTGGTTGCTCGATATTAACCACGTCCTACTGATCAAAAATAAACTATAGCAAACGGAAATTATTAGAGAATCAGGCCCAAATACCTGTCAAAGTCGTAATTGCATTGATTACTTTTTGATTACTTTGCTATATCCCAATAAGATCAATATTTTCGATTCAACAGATGAGAGAGAATACAGATGAGAGCTCAAGATATATATGACAACAAAAAATATATAAATTGTTCTCCGGCATACTTATGGGTTATGCCGCACAATTTTACTATCGCAACTAAAAATAAATGCATTTTGACATACTGACAAATTATAAATCACGACAATATTGTAAGTACCATATATCATTAACAGACCTAATTAGAGAGCTATTAAAAGCTATATGTATTTAATTTATATCAATTCAATAATTCATTTAAAATGTACATTCATACATCGATTCGGTTTTATGTTTACTCTTATTAATAAAACTAATCGATTGTTATAAGTAGTATTAAACGTGTGCTCACTGAAAAATTATATAATGCAAGGTATCAGTTATCATAGTTTATGAGTCAGCTAAGCAAATGCAAGACTTTTTTTAGGAGGTAGTTAACATTTAAAACAATGAGAAATGGGCGGTAAAGTACCAAATTTATGAATGATTGATGCACATACTATGCAGTCTAAGAACTCCACAATGCTTAGTTAGTCATCTACTTAACGAGGATCCTTTTCAGAATAACAATGCCAAAAACAACAATAACTGTTTTGCACTTATAAAAAAATTGGATTGATTGCTCCATTTGAAATGATTTCGACACTGCAATGAATTGTTAATATATCCAGTATATCTTAGAGAAACAAGGCGAGTCGGGATAATTTTTTTAAGGATGGATTTGCTGCCATCCATAATGATTGAAATCATTAATTTGATTTCTGAGTGGAATTTTGGATTTTCAAAACTTTGCACAACGGGACTTGAAGATACTTGGAGGAAAAACAAATTTTGTGAACAAGAAGGAAACCGGTTTGATAGAGTTACTCTCTTTTTGAGGTTATAAGAGATTATATTAGAAATATTGTACAAAATAGACGGTTTCGATTTAGAAATATATGTGCATATGACACTCCGTTTTCAATATTATTCGTTGGTCCCCTTATACTGCAGATTCAATTTTTGCAAGAACATATTTAAAGATCCGGAAAAATCCCCAATTCCAGACACATAAATTTCTTTTTGTTTTAATAAAATATTCGGTAATTTAAAAAAATGGGTATTTATTTCTACAAAAAAATTATTTTTGTTGCAGCCAATCCCAGGAACAGACAAATGTAAGATTAAAATAATATATGTATATATATTTAAGGTTAGTGTTCACTTAGAGTTTTTAATACCCTGGCAACAAATAAAATTATTCGATTATATATTATATATAAGGATAATATCCGGTCCAAATTTCAAATCTCAACAATAACTACCATTTTTCAAACGATTTTCAGAAGATGTCCAAAGCCACTGTAAAAATATTGAAACCAAACCTAGCAAAAAAAAAATTATGAATCGGTCCATAAAGGAGCGAAAGAAATTAAACGGAAACGTTTTTTTTTTGTGAATAAAAATTAGTTTGATGCGTAATATGTATGAAATCGGTTCAAACCTTGTCCAAGCCCCCTAATACCCAATATAATGACTTATAACTCATCAGTTGACTCTATCGGTCAATATGTGGGGTATATTAATGAATTGAAGTGATCGTATTTCCTTGAGCATAGCATAATTTGTTCGAAAAAATATGTGATATCGGCAAAGACATATCGGCTAGCCCCCAACTACTTTATACCTACATATCAATTAGTGAAAGTATAGAAAACAAAGAGCAAATGTTTTGCTTAAAATATTTTGAATGAGTGATACCGATCGCTATCTCTACCCAGCGCTAATGATTGCTCTCTTCAGGACTAATGTCAACTATTTTTAAATATAGTATTTTTTTACCTCTTCTTTTATCAATGGGAGAGGATGGGAGTACTGGCCAATAGCAGTTATTAGCGCCTTTCCGTAACACATGCTACAACTAATTGATAAATGTTTCAAAACTGTCTTACTACTCCACTATAAATATTTTCTTATCTGCTCTTCACAAATTGCACAAATAAAATAAGTTGAAGTACTTTTCGATAGTGAATTAACGCGCCAAATCGCGCAGGAACATATGTATGTTTGTATGTTTTAAATAAAAATCACCCTTTACTACAACGAGAGAATACTCTTCAATAGTTATCTATTTTATATATGTATATTTAGGAGAGCAGACATTTGAAAAGTATTTAAACGACTTGTCCAATTGAAGTGAATCTTAAATTGATATAACAACACTTGGGATTCCAACCTAAACGGCGCAGAAACAATTCGATTTTTCATAAATAGTCCCTAAAACGGTAGTGCTATGTCGATAAAACAAGAGTCCATAGACGCTGCAAAATTGCAGGAAGTCGAAGATAATGTTAGTGAAATAGCCTCGAGTAGATCGGATGAAAAGAAAAAGTTTACAGTGATAGAACCAGCAGTGTTTCTAGTTTACATAGCCACAGCATTGGCCAGTAAGACATTTTAAAAGTGTTACCTTTAAACTTTGTGCATGAAAAATGTTAATATATTGTAATATTATATTATTTTTTTATTAAAGGTGCTGTGTTACAAAATCAAGAACTCTACCAGGCATGTGTTGCCGTTTACGAATATGATGAAGAATTGTGCGAGCCAATGTTGGGAGTTATACCTAAAAATGCGACATCACAAGTGAGTACTATTCCAAAGTAGTATTTCGTTGTCGGTTTTCAATTAATTACTTTCGGTAAAGGAGTTTCTTCATTGTCCTATTTGGGACTTTAAATAGTGTAGTAATCGATTTTAAAAACAAAATGTTTAATAGTTGTCGTGGATTCGCCAAGCCTTGCCGAATTGTGAATCGAACAAACAAGTGGCGCAAAACACATGTACTGGCATAATGAAATTAAGAATGAACAGAAAAAGATTATACCAGTTTCATAATGTACCAAATTTACTAACTGATGCATAATTCAATTGTGTTACTTTCTTGTTGCTTCCATATGTAACTATTTTGACATAGCCATCAGATGTTTGGCGAATCCAAAACGGTTCATGTAAAACTGTACTACTAATAATTAGATAAAAATCGTATTTTTCGACTTTCGAGTTCTAGGTAGTAGTAAATATAATAATTGAAAGGTGAATGAGAGAACTTGGGAAAACGGAATTTTAAGCCAACTTATGCATTCTAGTGGACAAAAATATTAACATAAATTTAAAGTAAATGAGAATAATAAACTAGTGCAGAAATCTATCGAACTTCAAAAATCACTAAGGAATGCACTTCAGAGCTGTCAAACACTGCAAAAAAAGATTTATAAAAATAGTATGGTCTAATTGCGTGGTCTTCTCCATAAATTACTTTTTTTGTTTGTTTATAAACCAAATTAAAGTTCATATGAAGTTCATGCTTGATCTTTTGATCACTAACCATAAAACACCTCAAATCAAAAGTAAGCCAAAAGTACAAAAAAAATGTAAAAATAAAGGCAGAATTTTTTTTTGACAAGCAAGTATATAAAACAAAACACGTGACGCAGACTAATATATTTTCGAAATAGTCGCACCTATTCTTCTACTAGACAAAGTTATTAATAAAACAAATTATTAATAGCAACAACTCGTGGCGACAGGCTTCAAATTGATAACATTAAAAATAAATGCAAATTGAATATAAAAAATATTAAATACATACGTATTTATATAGTAATCGTGATTATCAGTAAATCAGCTGGGGGTAACAAAAAAAGGCCTGGCCTGCTCATGTGGATTCTCTGTGATTGAATAGTTATTCAAACGTGTGACTCAACTACGCTATCATCAACTAAAACAAAAATAACAAAATAAATAAATGAAAACGTAAGCGTTTTTAGCACGTATCCGATAGTGTTTGGAAAATACCAAAATTATATGCAAATTTGGTAGTTTTGGCAGAAGCAGAAGCTCATAATACATATAGGTATACTTTTCCTTAACTGGGACTATTGTAGAAGCGCTCAAGAGGGTTCAAATGGTAAAAGAAGAGGAGACTATAGAACATCTTCTATGCGAATGCAAAGCTTTGTATAGGAAAAAAATAGCAACTCTCAGTAGAGGGTTTCTTCACGATGTTTCGGAGATTGAACAGATGAAACTTTTTGCATTGAAAATCTTTATTAAAAGCACAGGGTGGTTCAAAGAGAACATAACAGAGTGAGGGGATTTTAGTCCCGGTGGTTACACATTTCACATAAAATACAAATTATATGATCTCTATGTAATGAAAACACTTTACGAAACGGCTTACAAAAATTCAGGGTCCACTGAAATTTTTATTTGACAATTAATCTACTTTGGCAATTAATCTACTCTACATTATGTATGTATATAAATTTTTTATTAGCACAAGTATTGCCAATTCAGAAAACTTAGCCTACCTGTTAAAACAACTAAACTGTAATCACAAGCATCTACAGAAGCAGCAAAGTTTTTAGTTTTCAAGCAGAAGCGTGTTAATGTTATTAGCAGAGAACTGTTAAATTACTGTGGGAGAGAATAAATAACAGAAGTTAGTTAATGTTATTAACCGAGCTCTGTTATATGACTGTGAAACAAAAAGAATGACCGAAGTGAATAAATGTTACATAACACAGCACTGTTAAATAATTATGAAATAAAATGATTGACAGAAGTGAGTTAATATTATTAGAAGAGTATTGTTAGATGACTGTAAAACAAAATAAATGACAGAAGTGAATTAACGTTACTAGCAGAGCACTGTAAAGTGACTGTAAAACAAAATTAATGACAGAGCTAGCTAATGTTATTAGCAGAGCACTGTTAAATGACTAAGTGTGGCGGATATCACAAAAATTTCAAATAAAAAATTACGAAGAAATATATTTGATTAGAAAGTTCTAAAGTAAACGTTACTGTAAATCAATCAAGTTTAAATAAATTAATTTTGAAATTTTTTAAAACTAAGTAAATTTCATAATTTAAATTCCAGGCCATCGAAACCCAAGTACAACCCTATGTGGCCAACATTATTATGACCAGTTCACTGATTAACAGCGTTTTGCCTGCATTCCTCAGTTTATTTATTGGACCTTGGTCTGATAAATTTGGACGTAGACCTATACTTGTGGTAACTTTTACAGGCAAATAAACAATTTCTCCATAAGTAAAGACAAAAATTTTAATTATACCAATTTCTAAAATAGCGGCATTACTTGGACATGTTATAACAGCGATATTAGCGGGCATATCAATGTCGACACCGATAAACCCTTGGGTCTACGTTATATCGTACATACCACTGGCACTAACTGGTGGCACCTGTTCCTTGATAGCGATGGTATTTTGTCTGGTTTCCGATGTGTCTGATGAGGGCGGTAGAGCCAGACGGTAGGTGTTTTTGAACCTATTGTTCACGAAGCGTATATTTATTTAATTATGTTTGGTACTTTGTAGCATGTTTTTGGTCGAAGGTGCTTTGGGTATTGGTACACTGGTTGGTAATTTAATAGCCAGTTATATACTTGCCGCAACTGGTACTATTGGTGTATTCGTGATTGCGGCGGGTATGGATTTGGTTGCAGTACTCTATATCATTATCTTTATAACCGAAAGTCTGCACGTGAAACACGAAAGAACTAAGGTGAATTGCACAAATTTTGAATTAAGGGTTGCATTTTTTATTTTAATATTATTATTATTTTTTTTTTTATTTCAGTCACATGTACGTGAGTTCTTCAAATTCGATCTGATTAAGGATCTGGTTAAAAGTTGTCTGAAACGCAGACCACACTTTGATCGCGGCATTATTTGGTGTATTATGTTCGCTCTAATTTCGACAACCTTTGTGCAGCGTAAGTACCAGTCATTTATAAAGATACAAAGCTCTGAGTTAACTACAAATATAATTGTTTTCCTTACAGAGGGTGAAGCGAATGTACTTTATCTGTTTTTACGCAACAAATTCAATTTCACGCTTCAACAATTCACCACTTTCACCGCAGTCGGCATTGGCATTAAAATGATTGGTTGTGGTATAATTTTGGTGTTATTACGTGTGGTAAGTTTATATTAATGTTAGCACGAGGCTTATAAAAACTAAACCATAAAAAAAATCTCACTTTACAGCTATTCAGGGCGCCTTTAACAGTGGTGGCCATACTCGGCTTGTTGGGTAGCTTCGCCGACAGTTCAATACGCGCTTTGGCTGAGAAATTTTGGGAGATGTATATAGCCGCGGTTGCGGGGTTCATGGGTGGCATTAACAGCCCCATGTTGCAAGCGGTACTTGCGGGTTTGGTAGACCGTACAGAAATCGGTAAAACTTCTTTTTATTCATTACTCATAAAAAGGAAAATTTATAAAAAAAAAATTTTAGGCAAAGTATATGCGGTAATTTCCTCACTACAAACACTTTCACCTTTGGCGTCGGCGCCTGTATACACTGGTATTTACAACTCGACATTGGTATCTTATCCTGGCGCCTTTTACTTTCTCAGCTCTGCGCTCTATTTCGCAAACTTTTTGCTCATAACGTAAGACCGATTTAATCACCACACTTGAAAAATCTATTAATTCCGTTATTTTTTCTGCAATTTTAGGATTATATACCTTATGCAACGTAAGAATAGTGCCAGAGCAACAAGAGACGATGAGGTAGCTTGATGTCGGACAGCCTAAACGCATTTGTACTTATATACTTCTTCGAAATTCGAAAATGATATTTCAACTTTAATTCGACATTTAAATTGCTTATAAATGAGAGCGCATGTGCATTATTTTTGACTATTACTTAAGCGGAAAAGTTACTAAAAAATGTATAGTAAAATTGCATAATTAAGTGTTAGAAACATTAATATTTAAAAACAATAAATAAATTTAAAAAATTTACTTAATGTTAATTAGAGTAATATTTCTCATTCTAAGCATATGACTAAGCACTTTTTATAAATAAATAAATTAAGCGTCAAGTTAGAAAATCTTGTGTTTGTTGCGTACCAAAATAGGTGCAAACCGAATGATCCTTAGCCCGAGCTGTGTAAATTACAGTAGAGAATTTAAAAAGCTTTTAGTCACCTAGTCGAGGTACGATCACTGTTATATAATATAATAACCTTTGTAGAATGTATAATGATTAAAAAATTAAGCAATAATCTATCAAATAAGAATATCAAATATAAGGTCAAGTAAAAAGAAATCCAATATTTTTGCCTTACATTGAACGTTTTATTAGCATATTAGAATGAACCGATTTAGGTTCTCATCCCTATTGGCAAAAAAAATTCTGCTAGTTGATTTTCACGCATCTCTTGAGGCTAACTTTTCACCGGCAAAATTATTCGCCATAGACAGAAACAGGTAGCAATCACTTGATGACAGGTCCGGACTGTAAGGAGGATGCGTAAGAACCTTCCAAGCATGCTAGCGGAGCTTTCTTGTGTTTACTTTCGATGTGTGTAGCCTGGCGTAGTTTTGTTGAAGCACAATTCTTCTCTAATAGGCCCAAGCTGCCTGCTTCTGGGCGATTTCTTCCTTTGGACGATTCAATTGTTGACAGTACAGATCCGAATTAACACCCTTTCAGACCACCAAGCCTGGTTTGCTCACCGTTTTCACTTGCTCGATTCGACCATGGATAGTCGAAATAGTGCTTTTTGACGGTCGGACTCGATGATTTCCATTGTTTTGTCGATATTTTCGACAAATGGCCTTCCAGAGCGATTGTGGTCCTCTTGAAGCGGGTGTATAATTTGTGCTGGTATGGTAACGACGAAATTATACTGGGATAGATTTGCCGTAACAATGCTTTATCAAAAGATGAAATTATATTTCTTTACTGTAAACAAAAAGAGCAAAGGTTGCGTCACTTTGAGACCAATAACTTGAGAATGATTTAATCAAATGTCATGCAAATTTAAAAGTATTGTTCTTAAGGTAAGAACTCTACGACAAAATATTTTCAAGCTCATTTAGTAAATGCAAATCTTGCAAATGTTTGTGGAAAAATTCTATATACAAAAGTTATAGATCCTTTCATTACCTACAACGTTGCCGTATAATCTTTTTCTATAGGACCCGTAGTTTTGCGAGAAATCGAGATAAGCCGTTTTTAACCATTAAAATTCAGCCACGCCCCTCATCTTCCTTTTCCCTACCATACATTGTCCGTAAATTTTTTTTTCCTTTTCCTTTAATGTTTGTCATTTTATCTTTCGTTTCCGATTACTTTCAACCAACTATGAATTTCTTTTTTTTTTGTTTAATAGTTGCAAAGGCACTCTGCACAAGGCTATAAACAAATTTGTTCTGAATAATGCAGGGACATTTTTCGCGCATGTGATTTTTTTCGCTTTTTCAGCCCCTGTAAATCGATGCGCTCTAGTGTACATAAATATATTTCGAGACAATGGACCAATTCATTTATTTTTTGATTTTTTTATCAAGTTGTGAAATAAATATTGCATAATTACAATAACGAAAATATTGCACTTTTGTAACTGTGTGAATGAACATGAATATATACAATGAATGGTAAATTTTATAAAAATACAGACATGTATGTATAATTCTAAACTTACAAACAGGTGTTGTTGATAGAACTTGTATGTTTTATAATTAAGTTACATAATTACTTAGAAGTTTAACAAATGCTGTTTCGTATTAGCAAATTTGAAATTAACAGTTCTTTTAGTTAACACCAAATTTTAACACATAGCAAATGTTTACAATGCATTACTCATACGTTACGGTGTTCAACAGAAAACATGTAATATTTAGCTAAGATAATTGCTAGAATAAAATAAAGAGGATGCGTATATATTTGGGAAACAGAAGAAAGAAAATATTATATTATTTACGAAAGATATTTTATTACTTTTCAATGAAATTTTTAAATATTAGGTTTAGTAAAAGAAATCTAATGATATTTTCAAAAGATGACTTTCACAATCTGCATCTCACATTGTATAATTGCGATCGGATTAAGCTATATGAAGTACAAAAGCCAATAGATGGCGTTATTTATCTGTATCTCACGTTGTATTAGAAAGATGACATTTTGTACTAAAAAAGCTTTTCTGACAGTCTTTTTATTGGTTGATTCAGTTTTGTTTGAGCGCGCGTCAAAGATGGACACTAGCAAAGAGAAAATAGCTATATTTTACAGTTTTTCTTCGTTAAGGGTGAAAACGCAAGCCAGGCGGCTGAAAATGTGAATAGCGTTTATGGCCCTTATACAGTAACATCCCATCATGCGAAATTTTGCTTTCGTCGATTCCGTTCCAAAAATTTCGATGTCAAAGATTCACCACGCTCTGGAAGACCGATTATCGAAAAAATCGATCAAATAATGGAAACCGCTGAGTCCAAACATCGATTACGATTCATGCAAAAATAATGGATTTCTTTTTACTACACCTAATGCATCATATTTTACAGATTTTCTTCGATAAAGGTGAAATCGCGAGTCAATCGGCTGAAAATGTAAATAGTGTTTGTAGTCCTGATACTTAACCGCCAATCACGCGTATTACTGATTTTGCCGATACCGTTTCGGTAATTTTGAGATCGAAATTAGCGATAAAATAATGGAAACGACGATGCCGACCGTAATTAAACTCCTAGTAAACTAAAGAAGCACCGAATTTCCATCTGCAAATCGCTATTGAAATGCAACAAAATCATATCATTTCTGAAGCGAAAGGTAACTGGGGTCACCTACGACAACGTCAAGCGAAAGCGGTCGTAGTTGAATCGCGGTGAGTCGCATACGGTGGCCAAGCCAGGATTGACTTTCACGAAAGTTTTGCCATGAAGAATCATCTCCCATAAGCTTCCAACTTTTTATCAATAGGAACGACTGTTTCAACGGGAGTGGCATTATGAAATTACCTTCAAAATTGCAATAAGTTATCGAACAAAACGTAGCTTATTAAATCTAAATCCGATCATTCTAACTATGCTAATAAAAAATCTTCAATTTAATGGATTTTACTTTTTACTGGATCTATTACTTGTCAGTGTAACTTTCGGCTTGAATCAATGACCCAGTAAATTTGGTTTGGGGTAAAATCGCAACATCGCTGAAGATAATTTAAAATGACGATTACTTAACCGAATTTTAAAAACGGTCGTTATTGTCCAAAACTTATGTTTACTTTGGCATACATATATGTATATGGAATACATCGAAAAGCCTATGTCTCTAAAAAAAAACTACCCTATACAAATTTCTTACTGATCCATTCTAACGCTTATCTATTATTATGTACAAGTTAAGTAACTCGCTACCGCAAAAACAAAACTAAAAACGAATAAAAACAACAAACAAAAAAATACACTTCTTCCAAGCATTTAAATTCGCTATAATACAACAGTGGCATTTTATTTAGTTTAATACTTAAAAAAGCTCTTAACAGGTATTTCCCATTCAAATTAAAGTAATAAGGTTAATAAGATTTAAAGATTATTTAATTATGTTTGTGTGATAATTACAAGCATATACCTAAATAGCTTTATTGTTGCATATTGTTATCACATAAGTGATTCCTCGCTCATAAAAGTGAAAAGTTGAGTGTCACTCAATCAAAAGTGACTAAAATATTTGGTAGCGAATAGTCTTTATCAACGCTTCTGAGTCATCGCAAACGGGTAGTTTTTCATTTAAAACTTTAGTTTAAATAAGGAAGTGATTCTTAAGTACCCATTTAAGTTTTTTTTTTTAAATAATTGTAGTAAATATAACTCTTGAATTAAAACATGTAAAGGGAGATACCGTAGCCGATCTCCAAGAACATCTCCGTAAAAGTGTCTAGTGATAAGGAAGATTTTTCTACTTATATACAATCGATATATGTATTGTATGTATGTTGTATATGCAAAAACAAATATCGATTTTTTTTTTAATTTACAAATGGATATAACACCTTAATGCAAAAATAGTGAACTTCGTTTTACCTTATATTATGATTATGAGAAAAAATAAAGTATGTTTGTAATGTTAAATAAGGTTGGTATTTATGAAAATGACATTCACAAGCCAGGACTCATTGTGCTTTTCCGTAACTAACATAACCGTTTCGAGGAATGTGAAATTAGTAAAAACTAAAAATGTTTTCGACCGATTTACTTTCGAAGTGAAACTTGCGCCATAGTGCGTCATTTCGGCACGCTCGCAGAGTGTGAATATTGTAGATACTGAAGTGATTTGATTGTATTCGAGAAGAGTTGTCAACTGTTGAAAATATTTTAATCCGAAAATTGCCAACATTATGGGTAGATATATTAATAGGTTTAAGGGGTTAGGCCAATATCGATTATTTTTTATGGCTTAAATTACACAGCAGACGATTTTAAACGATTCCGTAAACGTGACGTGAATCGAACATAAATTAGATGTTGAGTGTCAATTTGATTAAAAAATCAAAAACTATCTGTACAATCAGCTGTGGAGTGAAAGCGTTAAAACAGTATCCTGTGCACATAATACTTATTTGAACTGTTTTTTTTTAATTGTGACCTCATTTTTTAAAGCGGACAAGGATGGTACTCGGAGACTATCGTACGAATCCATTTGAAAAATTAGCTGTAGCTTCATAGTAATATTATTTGGTGAACTACATATGTACGATTCTTTCATGCTGATTTTAAAGGTTGTATACCCCTACGGTTTTCAACTCCACTCAGTTGGATTGAAGTTGAAACAGTTCAACATCAGATCAACCAAACTCTGTTTGAGTATTACGAACTTCAAGCATTTTCAGTAGAAGTTTCCTTGGTTTTGCCAACCTAAAAATTGGGTTTCGTGATCATTCAAATTCGGAGTGGAACTTGGTACTTTCTAACACCAAGTAAGTCAAAGTTCAATTGACACTTAAATGGCTTTTAAATAATGTTCATAAGTTCATTTTGTTTTTTCCTAATGGTTTGAAGGAATATTACCACAAGCTCAAAGTTTCTTTGCTGCTGGTAGTTGTCACGAATGCATTTGATGATTAGGTATGGCTGAAGCAAACCTGTGATATTTTTGAAAAGCAAGTCAAATCAAGTTTTATGCTCTCAACCCATCTGTATCGAGTTTGCTTTCTTGTTGATGTAGGGTGGTACATATTTGTTCGGTACGATTCTGAAAATCAATAATGTATAAATCTGTTCATTCTTAGACTTTCGGCCAAACAAATTTTTTCCGATTATACCAGAATATATGAATGTAGGGATAGCAAGACTTGACAGTTAATAAAAAGACCAAAACATCTCCTCAATCAAACATTTATTTATCGATCTAAATAATGAAAAAAACGTTTCTTTTGAAATCAGCTTTTCAACAGGCATATTAAAATCCTCCAATCTTGAATTTTTTGGAACTTAGAAATGAGCTTTTCGAAATTGGCGGCAGCGAATGCGTCGATAATAGTCTGGCTGCGTTGAGGTCATCTTCTTTCTTCGAACTTTCATAGCACTGCGGCGAATCTTCTGTTCTTCCACAATTATCGCCGTCAAGTATGACGTAGAGAGTATATATTTTGAATTTAATTTCTTCTTTATTTCAATTTTTACCCACTGTTTCTCATAAAAGCGTTCAGAAAATTTTCAGCTGTTTATACGGCATACGGGTCCTTTTCCACTGGCCCTTCTGAGTCACGAATATATTCTGAAAGCTTTGCAAATTTCTTTGTAAATTGAATATTTCAAGTCACGTTAGGACAGCTTCAAAACTGTAACGCGGGTTGAGTTGATATCGATAATACTGAATTTCAAAAATTCAACCAAATGCAGTTGGGTTGAAAACCGTAATCGGAGCCGTAATGTACATAACCTTTAAATAAAGCACACAAGGTCAAGCAGAAAGAGAAAGCTGGACAATACCAAGTTGGCAACCATAGTTCCCAAAGCACCAAAATTGCAACATTAAAGAAGGCCAATAAAGCCAACATCTTAATCAACTTATGCAATTCGACATTTGTATACACATCTGAGCCCTCTTCTGCAGTAAAACACGAATTTTTGGCGGCATCAGCGATTCGTTGCACATTTTTGTTTATTTATTTTTATATATATTGTACTTGGAAATGTTTATTACCTTTTAAAAAAACAAAAAAATCATGAAATGATAGTCAAACGCTTATTCAAAGTGGTTGTAAAGAGCAGAGGCAAACTAATTACGAAGCTAATCTCTCTGAAACGCTGCGAGTGTGAAAAATATGTAAACACCAGAGTTTATCTGACAATTGTAAGTCTCCAAAAAGCACATGCCGATTGTGAATCAGCGAGTTTAATGTTGCATTTAGCTATGTACATATGTGTGTATGTCAGCTACAACGGCAAACAATTGATTGCTCTCTTTATCTCATTCCGCATACAAACTGAGCAGATGTGTAAAGTCGGTATATATTAACTAAAAAGACGTTTAAAGCGATATAGTACAAACTCGGATGCAAACTTGTACGGAGTAAATGCGTGCAACCGGTTAACTGATTTAGAACGAAATATTAATTTAAACAAACCACACATAATGGCAGCGCGTCGGCCAACATCGCTGAATCTGAATGCGCGACACTCGTTGACTTCGCTCGAGCAGTTTGTCTTCGAAGTCGGTACTGTAATGCCGTTAACACCCGCTTCAACGCCGGAAATCACGCCGTTACCGTTATTTCCATTAACCGAAACCAAAATACCAGAAGATGTTCCGGGTACAAATGCTAACACGCTTTCAAATAAATCTGTGGAAAAAAATAGATTCACAGTGATTGAACCGGCAGTCTTTCTGGTTTACGTTGCCACAGCGTTGGCCGGTAAGACATTTGTTTTCAGCATTCTTTTTATAGTGCCAGCTCAAAAAGCAGTTATTCGAATATTATTTTCCTAAATTTCGAAAAAAGGTGCCATTTTGCAGAATCAACAACTCTATCAAACCTGTGTCGCTGTCTATAATTATGATAAAGAACTATGTGAGCCAATGTTGGGAGTTATTGCAAAAAATGAGACTTCAAAAGTGAGTACTCATTACACAAATTATTTTAATTATAGTTGATTTAATGGAAGCAGTGGTAATTAAAGTAATTGTTTCCAATAAAAAAACGATTCAAATTGTGTAGTGAGTGAGTATTGAAGTGGTAATCGGCTTAAGTCGAACATTTTAAATGTCAATACGAATCAAGTTGAGTAAGATTTAGGTTGTGTCAAATGAAAAACGGGAAAACCGATGGATAATCGAATATTATTACAGAAATTCCTTTTATTTAGTTATGATATATAATCCATCTCAAAACGATAGGTTTTGCTAACTTAAATAAATTGCCTGCAATAAATTTGAATGCATATTTCGAAAAAGCAGGCGTTGTAAAAATAATGTGTGCCCTTCACAACTAAGTGAATTTATGCTATTAATACGAAATCGTAAAAACAAAACAATAATCTGAAATAAGATATTAGGCCTGTAACTATATTACTGCGATTTGCCAAGTTATATTATTGCTCTGTTCAATATTCCGAACAGGCGTTGGAAAGCTAGTGTTCTTGTAAGCCTTTTTCAATATATGCCACTAATTTGAAACGGAAACAATAATATTTTTTTATTCGTTTAAATATGTCGAGCTCTGTGCCTGACAAAGTGTTTGTGCGGAGAGTTTTTGTTTATTACTTTTAAATGAAGAAAACATCAGCCGAAAGTCATAGTATTTGGGCGGAAGTTTATGGTGAACATGTTCTAGCTGAGCGAACGTGCCATAGGTGGTTTGCACAATTTAAAAGTGGAAAACGAAGAACGTCCTGAGCGGCCAAAAAAAATGTATTCAATGAAAATTGTTGGCAAAAACAGAATCAGTTGGAGTCTGGATGCTGTATGAGCTTCTAAAATCGTATGAAACCATAAATGTGGAACGCTACCGATAACAATCAAAATTGTAGTGAGAGATTGCCGAAAAACACCCGGAATTTGCCACTAGAAGCGAGGAAGTAATTTTCCATAATGCAATCCTCGGTCTCATGTTGCAAGACCGATTAAAAAGTATTTGGAAAACAGCGGCTAGGAAGTTGTGCTTCATCCGCCTCATTTGCTCCGGACGATGCAGAACACCATCACTGGAATACGGTTCACATCAGAACAGGGTAACAAAAATTGGCTTGATTCATTCTTAACCACCAATGCTACTCCGATGCACAGTTATGGAAATTCACCGACCTTTATCCAAATATACTTTTGCACCTATAATTTACTGATAACCAATGTCATCATACGTATAGACTAAATAGCTCTATTAGGTTTACCGGATTTATCGATAGAGTATATAACCAATATAGTTTTCACTTTTGTAACAATCCTCTTCATTCGAATAGGCTTCTTACCTCATTGAATAAACATATGTATATACAATACAATATACTATAATCAGAACTGTGGTTTAGCAAAGAATTATAAAAGAAAATAACTCTAACTGTGTGTCAATATAGTCTCTATTTACATAGTTTGTCAGTGTACTTATTTACTCCATTATTATGTTTGCGCACCAATAAACAGTAATGAGGTAACCGCTTATGGTGGAAATAATTATCAAAAATTTCATAGTGTAAGCTTAGATAGCCTAAAAAATATAACTAAAAAAAGGTTGCTAAAAAATTTGCAGGCATACTTTAATAATTATTGTGGCATTAGGGTGGGATCTATGGAATAATCTATGTAAAATTTCTTGACGATACCTTGTTAAATAAAAAGGTTTGCCAAACAAGAGCTTGAGTTGGATCAATTAGTGCAAAATTTCAGGTCAAAACCGAGGGACTGATTCGCGTATTTAAACAGGCGGGCGTACATGTATGTATATAGTATGTATACTTTATAGGGCCTGTGCCTTTCCTTCTGGTTGTTACAAGTTTCTTGGCAAACTTAATATACCTTGTTCAGGGTATAAAGACTACATTTTGTGATAACATTGTTTATCAATAAACAGGTGGGGTGTCTAGCATTTTTGCATGTAATTCACTGCTGATTCATTTAGATATGCAGGCATGTATGTAGATCCTATGTGACTAAATTACGCTATATTTATATGTCATTAACTCTTGTTAAATAAAATAATTATTGCTCAATATGTCATTGCCAGTTATACTCACGGTTATACCCTACGCAACACAGTTTTTTTTTCCTTCAAGCAACCTTTAATTGAACTTATGTGAATAATTTTAATTAAAAAAAAAAAAGAATAAATAAGACAAAAAATTTCAAAAGAAACGAGTTTTAAATGAATATATATATGCTAATGAAATGAGAGATATTTTGAAGCAATAAATGGAGGGTGCCTTTGTAGACGTATGCATATGCATTTCTTAGAGTTATAGGGGTAAATGCAGCTGTTAAACTAAATATATGTTTTTGACATTGGAAATACCAACAATCTTGAAGAGACAATCGATACAAATAAACCTAGTACAGAATGGTTCCGACCGGAAGCGCCAAAAACATGAGAAGGCTTAAGACTGTTACTGTATTGAACAGAATACAGACACAGTACAAAAGTAAACCAAACAATACGCCATTTTACTCATATTTCCGTACGTTATGTGAACAAATACACATATTCTAAAACTATAAAATTGATACCAAATGTTTAAGTTAATCACATACGAATTTTTTTCAAATATGATAAAAGCAACAACAGAAAGTTGAAATTGCAGTTTACTTGCCAAAATTTTTTAAAATTCGACTTTTGTTCATATATTAATTGTTATACATAAATAGGATGAAAAATTAGGTTTCCTGGCATAATCTTCGAAACCCTGTCACCCAAATACCGAATTCGGCGTATTTGTTAGTGCTTGACTAATAACGCCTCTTATCATGTGCATTTGAGTATTTTTTTTCATACATTTACCTCTCTATTGCCAATTGAAGAACTACTCATTTAGACGTAAATATTGAGCATAAATACACACAGCTGAGCGAATACTTCTACTCTCTGGTATGTTGTTTACAAATTCAAATACTCAGTTTATTTCGAACGCACTGTATCCTTGCCTGTATGATGGGCCGATTACTAAAAATCCTTTAGGAAAATATAGCGAATTGAGAATATTTTTTTTTTAATGAACTTTACATGTGTTACAAACTTTTATTTAAAGAGATTTAATATGAGTATTTCTTACTTGTTTTCAGCCATATTAATATATATTTTTAATTATATAAAACCGCATTGTCGGACATGAAAGGGTTATTCTAGTCTAGAGGTGAATTTCGAGTTTGTTTTAAGAATTGATAAACAAAAAGCATTTTATGATTTGTTTATTCATATTTCATGATATTGAAGTAGAGGCGGAGAAGGGAGATATGTTTGATCATCTAACTATCGAAATTTGAAAAAAAAATCAATTAAATTTTTTTTTTCTAGCTTCAAAAACTAATGTTGATTAGGCATACCTTAGCGATGAAAAGGAAACCAAAAAATAGCACAGAAATACAATGAAGATCTCAAAACTTATTCCTTCTCATAGTGGCAACACTGTCAAATGTTATCAAAAATGTGCACGCACAGCACTCTCTCGAATCAAAGAGTAAATAAAGTGCAAACCAAACAATGAAATATCGAAATATTTTTGTTTAGTAGTGATTTACAACGCTGAAGAGACACTTAAGTAGAAAGTCGCTGTGATCGAACTTATAAATTAGTAGATAAGTAATAATTAAAGTACAAACATGTCGCACCGTAACATGGAGGAAAGCGAAATTTTATTTTTACCAACAAATGAAGAGAGCGATGATATATCGAACCTTGTCGAACCGCCTACACTTACGCCCCCAAAGCCGCGAAAAACTCGTACGATAATCGAACCGGCAGTATTTTTAATATTTATTGCGTCAATTCTTTCAAGTAAGTTTTCTTTAATTGCTGTGAGCTAGAACTTTTGGAAAAGAAAGTATTTCACAACTATATAATATCAAAAATAGGCACTGTGTTACAAAATCAGATGCTTTATCAAACATGTACGGTGGTTTACGAGTACAATGCGACCGTGTGCAAGCCGATGATGGGCATTGTACCGGAAACGAATCAATCAGCTGTGAGTAAAACGTTTGAAAATTATACTGAATACATTTTTTAAAATTTTCAAAAATATTTTATTGATTTTACCATATATTAAAAACAATTCAGCCAGGGTGGACAATAAATAGAAAACGTGATAAAGTTTAATTAATATTTATTTTCCTTATTCTCAATATAAATACTGACTCACATAAAAAATTGTATTATCATTTAGTTTTTTTTATCGATTATTGCATATGCGTACTAGTTAAGCATTAAATACTTATCATTTATGGATATCAGCAATAATAACTAAGCACGAAATAGGTGATAACATTAAAAAGCCACATTAAAATAGGCATAAGTCAATTTTACAATTTGGTAATTGCGTTGCATAGAGCACAAAAATTTTTACACCTAACGGTATTCAACATTTTTCAAAACAAAATTAAGCTGACAATTTCGTGAAACTGATATCTTGACAAATAAAAAAGTTTTCCATGCAAGGATTTTATTTTGATTATTCAGTTTGTATGGGAGCTATATGCTATAGTATTGCGATTTCGGCGGTCCAACAAATGTGCAGTTTTTTGGAGAGAAAAGAACGTGTGCAAAATTTCAGATCGATATCTCACAAACTTCACGTCATGCTATTCATTTATATTATATATTTTATAGGGTCTCCGAAGTTTCCTTATACATAGATGCTGTGCTACGAACAAAAGATCAGTCAATATAATCCTAGATTATCAATTCCGATTTATTTTCAAGTGATATATATATCTCCTAGCAAAATTAAGCATCCAAGGTTCACTTTTATATTAACTACCACAGTTAGGTAGCTGAGTGATATAAGAACTCTCGTAGGAGTACTAACAGACCACTGTCTAATAGGCAGACATGCAAGTAGACTTGGCACGCCATATAACGACTATTGTAGAAGCTGTCAGGAAGTAGAAGAGGAGGAGACCATTAAACATCTTCTATGCGATTGCGCAGCACTATATAGGAAAAGAATCGCAACCATCGGTCGTGGGTTTCTTGATGACGTCTCGGAGGTTGCACAGATAAAACTTGTCTCACTGATGAAGTTCATCAAAAGTACGGGGTGGTTCAGAGAGGAGCCAATAAGAGTGAGGGGATCGCAGTCCCAGTGGTATGACAATGGGCCTCCTAAAGGCCTAAGTGTGTCGGGTGACAGCCACTTTACCTACCTACCTAGCTACCTAGGTAGCTGAGTGATATACTAGAAATTCCCGGTTTCATCCCTCAGAACAAACTTATTCCTTTAATCAACCTATTGTTTGACTTTGTATTGAAATTATTAGAGCAAAAAGTGACAGAGGCGAAGGATTATAGTATCCATACTTCTCTTAAAAAAAGAATAATGGAAATGGATATAATTTTGTAAATAAAAAAGTTTAATCTTTTCAAATTTTTACTAAATTGTTTAAGAAGAAGACAAAAGCCTCATTAACGTTTTTTTAATTTAGTTTAATAATAATATTAACTTGATTTATTTATCAAAATATTTTATATAATATTTTAAGGAAATTGAAACCAAAGTGCAACCCTATGTGGCCAATATAATTATGACTAGTTCGGTGATTACCAGTGTTTTGCCTGCTTTCCTCAGTTTATTTATTGGACCTTGGTCGGATAAGTTTGGACGCAGACCGGTGCTTGTAGCAACCTTCTCAGGTAAACCATTTATTTTAATAATTATAAAAATAAAAAAAATTAATGCAACGAAACCTGTATGACAAATAGCGGCCTTCATCGGACACTCTATAACAACAATTCTCGCAGCAATATCTCTGGCAACGCCTTTAAATCCGTGGGTCTACATATTATCGAATGTACCATTGGCTTTGACAGGTGGCACCTGCGCGTTAATAACAATGGTGTTTTGTCTCGTCTCAGACGTGTCCGACGAGGGCGGTAAGGCAAGACGGTATGTCAAATCGAATTCTTTGAAATCGTTAACATTACGAATTTTTATTACTCTCACATAACATACATATAGCATGTTCTTTGTGGATGGCGCTTTGGGTATTGGTACTTTGATTGGCAACGTGATCAGCAGTTATATACTGTCTGGAACCGGTACCGTAGGCGTATTCACAATTGCTGCAGGTATGGATTTGCTGGCGCTGCTATATTTGCTGTTCTTCGTCGACGAAAGTTTGAAAATACAACACGAACGAAAAGAGGTAAATTTGCTAATGCTTGAGAAACGTTTTGAAAGTGGTGTTGAAATTTTGTAATATCCTTCATTAGTCCAATTTGCGAGAGTTCTTCAAATTCGGCTTGATCAAGGACTTGGTAAGGAGCTGTCTAAAACGCAGGCCAGACCATGATCGCGCCATTATTTGGTGTATAATGTTCACCTTAGTCACTACAACATTTGTAATGCGTAAGTATTGATTATTTTAGACACCTTTCTAGTGGCTTAGGGAATTTTTGAAGTAAAACGTCTTTAGGCAGAGTAGCGAACGCGAACGAAATTATATTGTGCAACAAAATTCCGTTACACAGAGCGCGTTAGTCAAAGATTGGGATATTATTTTAGTTGTTCTGTGTAATTCAAAAGGAAGTAGTTACAATGTTGCCACCTGTGTGAAAATGTTTATGTCGAAAAACTGGAAAGGAAAACGAAACATTATAATGAGAAGAACTTTTGAGAAAGTTTAGTTCGAATTTATTTTTGAATAGGGTTGTCGCCTGTTTAAAAATTCACAATCAGTAAAATAGATAGGGTCAACGATTTATTACAATTTAGTGGCTATCAAACTGCATAGGATTGGGAAGCATTTGGTTGCACATACCATAGCTTTGGGCAGTGGTTTCTGTTTAGAATTTTTTAATGAAATCATTAAGTATAGCCATCAAAATAAATAAAAAGATTCATTTTACTAAAATAAAATTAATATTGCAAAAGAATTGATATACATATGTAATGTACATTAAGGAAATTTTAGTTATAACACTGCCTGTTTGTAAATTTACAATCAGTAAAATGTATAAAGTTAACGATAGGTTCTAACGAAGACTTTGGTTGAACATAGTTTCGGGTAGAGTTGCCACCTGTTTTGGAAATTAATATTTTTAATGAAATACTGAAATATACCCATCAAAATAGTTCAAGAAAATGTTTATTTTAGAAATTTTTGTTTTTTTAAGAGTTGCCACCTCTTCATAGTTTTTTCAAACAACTTGACCAAATAATATCAATATTGCAATATTATTTGTGAAAGACTTTACTTGATGTTGTAATAATTAACACATTTTTCATTACAGAGGGTGAATCCAATGTATTTTATTTGTTTCTACGTAACCAATTCAATCTCACGCTGCAGCAATTCACCACCTACAATGCCGTCACTATCTGCATTAAAATGGTCGGTTGTGGTCTCATTTTGCTTTTTTTGCGAGTGGTGAGTTTATAAAGTTAATAACAAATATTTAACCAGAAAAAATTTTATTCATCAAAAATTATTCACAGCTATTCAAGGCCCCTCTTATACTTGTTGCCATGCTTGGTTTGTTGGGTTGTTTTACTGACAGTTTAATACGTTCATTGGCGCAGGAATTTTGGCAGATGTACTTGGCCGCGACTTGTGGCTTCATGGGTGGCATTAACAGTCCGATGTTGCAAGCGGTACTTGCGGGCTTAGTACAAGCTACCGAAATCGGTGAGTTTACACGTGAGTTTTGCTGTTAAATATAAATTTAAACAATTTTTTTGTTTGTTTCTATTGCAGGTAAAGTCTACGCTGTTATCTCTTCATTGCAAACACTTTCGCCGCTGGCTTCGGCACCGGTTTACACTGGCATTTACAGAGCGACATTGCAGTCATATCCTGGCGCGTTTTACTTTTTGAGTGTCTCAATTTATTGCATATGCTTTGTGCTTATTACGTAAGTGTTAAAAACAAAAAATTACTAAGAAATAATAAAATTAATAATAACTATTACTTTTGCAGCGCTTTGTTTATTATGCAACGAATCGGTGCCAAAGCAGCCAGGCAACAATCAGCGGCATAGGGAAATGTTTAGCAGAATTCTGTTATTTAAATAAACAAATTGTTGTCAAAGCAAAATTTTTATATGAAAATAATATTTTGTGACACGAACCAGTATTTACATATGTACATATGTATGCAATCGTATATATGTGTGTATGTCTGAATAATCATTAAATAGACTTAAGGTTTGTTTACGTTCCCTAAACATAAGTGCTTGCATTTAACTGAATTTAATAACTGTATATATGTAAATAATGTTTAGCGTAAAAGTTAAGGGAAAAATTTTTGTATGCACATACTATGTAGGTCTATATCGAACAAAACAAAAGCTAATTTACACAAAAATAAGTTGCACATATTTTTTAAAATGCAAGTAAGGTGAAAAGGTGAGTTGATAATAAACAATCTCGTAAAGTGGAAAATTTTAATAGAAAATATTTCGTGGTCTCCAAAAATAAGAAGAAACGTTAACTTCGGTTGCACCGAATCTATAATACCCTTCACAAATACAAGAAAGATTCCATTTAAGAACTTAATATGGTTCATTCAGTTGGTATGGCGGCTATATGTTAGAGTGGTCCGATCTGAATAATTTCTCCGGAGATTTCATTTTTGCCTTGGGCAATAACCCGTGCCAAATCTCATGAAGATATCTAGTCAATTACAAAAGTTGTCTACACAAGGACTGGATTTTGATCGTTCAGTTTGTATGGCAGCTATATGCTATAGTGATCCGATATCAGCTTTTCTGACAATTGAGCAGCTTTTTGTTGAGAAAAAGACGTGTGAAAAATTTTAGATCGATATCGATATAAACTGAGGGACCATTTTGCGAATATACAAACAGACGAACATGGCTAAATCGACCCAACTCATCATGCTGATCATTTATATATGGTATATATAGGATAGGTTATATACCATATCTGTATTTTTTATAGGGTCTCCGCCGTTACCTTTTAGTTGTTACAAACTTCGTATCTTAAGGCAAGCAAACAGACCGAAATCAGAAAACCCGTTTTATCAGAGCTAGATTCGGATATGCACTGATTTCAGATATCACGGTTACAATTTTAGCTAAGATTTATTGCTCTTGAAAGATCATATTAGTTGATGAAAATCCAAATTGATTGATATACACGTGAAAAAGGCGTGGTTATTAAACTGAGTTCCAAGTATGCAACAAAAAAAGAAAACCAAATTCGATGAAAGAGCTATTAACGGCGGCGAGGTGTAGCCTATTTAACTGGCCTTGATTTGATAAATTTCGTCGCTACCAGCACGAATGATGTTTTCACGACTATCAGGTCTACGTAACCGTGACAGAACCGGATTCTTATCCATTCAAGAACTGTCAACTTATCAGCATACCGGTTTGCTTTGTGGAAGGACACAAGAGCCAGTAACGCTGAAAAATATTGTGAAAATTTGAGAAATTTTATTGGTCAAATAAAATTGAGTGAGTTAGTTACCGTCTATGGCAACACAAAGGTACTCATGGGTCAATCTGGCACTGATCAAACACAATTAGTTTCTCAGCCGATTTGTGAAAATAGATGAAATAAAAGATTGATGTATCCATCAATGCGGACCGGAATCCAATCGATAGCCCGCTGAACGCTTATTGGCCAGTGAATGTCGACCGCTTTTTCCAAAGCGCTCAAAAAACAACATTTGGGCGGCAAATCTCATAGAATTATTTATATGGAATACCTCAAACATAATTAAAAAAGCTATTCGACCGTGCGTTATTGATTTTAGATATTGCTGTGAGCCGATGATTATAGATTGAAACAAAGTAAGCAGTACATTTACAAAAAAAAAAAAAATTAATAAACTAAAAAATAAAAAATCATTTTCCCGACGATTTTCACTAAAAGACTTAATAAATACAAAATCTCTTGAAGATTATAATCAACACCTAAGAAAAATAAGTAAGTAAGCTTGTTGCGAAAATGTAATTAACCTTTAAAAATGACAACCGGAGTAGATAACGGGAATTTATGATAGCAAATAATTAAGTGAACAATTCGTTTACGTTCTCTATTTATATACGTTTATCCGTAACAGTTTAAAAATTTGTCACAGCATTTAAAATATACACTGAAGGCGACAAAAAATGTGATTTTAGTAAGATTTCTTTTTTTTTTGTGAGGAACAAAAAATTGTGGAAAATTAAAAAAGAAGAATAATAACTCAAAAGTAGACAAGATATGTGTATATTCACATGTAGGGCTGCACACACAGTGGAGGCAAGAGCAAAGGTTATAACTTTTGGAATAAAACGGATGAAACGGATGGATATGTATATTAGGGTCTCCGTTATTTCACATGTTGATTTTTTTTTTTGTGCAAACGCCCCCTAAATTTTCAAGTTTTGCTCTGAGAAATATTATTTAACGTTAACAAGCTCTTTATTTTCAATTTAAATCATGCGTAAATCATTTTACTTTTCCCACGCCTTGTACATGGGACGTTTTGATCTTTTATATTATTTTGCTTTATTTTCTAAGCAAACAAACCTAGAATTTTGTAAAAATTCATGGGAAAAGAAACATGATTTAAACACGGTTTAAATTTAAAATAAATAACTAGTTTCCGTTGAATAAAATTTTTCAGGGCAAACACTGAAACTTCAGGGCTGTTTGCAAAAAAAAAACAGTCAACTTGGGAAATAACGTACATCGTAATGTGTATGTACGCATACATGATTGTTTTTTAAAACATGCCCAAATAATTTAAAACTATGCAATAGTTCATACTATATGGTATATGTTTGAGACCATCAAGTAAAATGTATGCAAATAAAAATCGATAAAAATTATTTATCAAATATATAAGTATATAATAACGTGGTAATAATTTCACTTACCCACACTTACATCCGTAGATCTGTGATCTGAAAATAAAAGCATAATCCCAATATAAATAAATAAATTACATGATATTTAAATATAGACGTTGATATATAAATAAAGATAAATTCATTCAATATTATAAATGCCAGTGGTTCGCGAAAAAAATTAATATTGGCATATTGGTTGGTGAAAAGTTTTTATTTTCACAAAGAAATAGCACACTGTCAATTAATACTTTGTTTACAAGCCATTTGAATTTGACGTGTTAGAGTATTTTTTTAATATAGAAACAATTAAATATCGCGCAGTGATTAGATTCTTTGTTTTGAAAGGTTTAAAAGCAAAGGAAATTTATGAGCAATTGTTAAAAATGTAAAAGGAGTCCCCACCTTCAAAACGCACCGTTGAATTTTGGGCTGGTGAATTTATATGTGGTCGTACTAGGCGAAGGACGACCAAAAACCGCAACCACACCAGAAATCACTGAGCAAGTTCATAATATTGTTAGTGAAGCTCCAAGTTTGATTAAGCGTGAAATTGCTAATGCCATAGGCATCTCAAACGAACGAGTACTTCATATTTTGCATGGAAAATTACTTATGAAAAAGCTATTTGGAAAGTTAGTGCCGCACACGTTAACAATTAAAGAAAACCTGGATCGAAAACAAATTTCTCTGCATAATTTGGAGCGTTTTGAGCAGAATAAAACCGATTTCTTGCATCGGTTTATAACTATGGATGAGACTTGGATCTGCCACCATAATCCTAAAATGAAACAAGAACATTTACAGTGGACTGAAGCAGGTTGTTTAACTCCAAAGCAGATGATGTCACAACAATCGGCAAAGAAGGTTATGACATCAGTTTTTTGGGATGCAAACGGAATTTTATTGATTGATTATCTGCAGAAATGTAAAACAATCAACCTTTAATATTATTGCAACCTTTTGGATCAGCTGGCTGAAAAAATTCGTGAGAAAAGAACTGGGTTGCAGCACAAAAAAAACATTTTTCATCAAGACAATGCACCTGCTCACAAAGATGATGAAGAGATTTTAACAATGACAAAATTCAACGAACGAAAGTACGAATTGCTTGAGCATCCACCGTATTCCCCAGATTTGGTTCCCAGCGACTACTACCTTTTCATAAACCTGAAACAATTTCTTCATGGAAAGCGTTTTTCGTCGAATGAAGAAGCTATTACAGTCGTAGACGGGTATTTTGCAGAGCTACCCTAAAGTCATTATAGGGATGGTATAAAATTATTGGAGGATCATTTTAATAAGTTTATTGAAGTTAAGGGAGGTTATATTGAATAAAAAAAATTTGTATTTTTTTATTTCCAGCGCAGAAATTTTGAACCAACCTGTATATATTATATAAGAATTTGAAGATAATAAAGTTTCATTTAATTTCTGAAATTTGTCTTTAATGCAGTTAAGGGTAACATCTTCTAGAATTAAAAAAAATCAAAAATGTTTCGTTGGCTTAAAATACACTTCTGGGCCCTAAAACAATTCAATTTACTGTAGTGTCGAAACGCCTGGGTCAGTCAGCTTCAGCACGTAAAACTTCACACGCATTTTTGTCACAACTAAATTTTTCAAATCATATGTACATAAAGTTTTAACTGTAGCTTCACGGTTGTATCTTTTTATACACTCAGATACATTTCTAATATATATTGAAAGAGAAAATCGAATACTTCTTCCTTACTCCCAGAACAAATTGTCAAAGTTAGGCCGTTTTTGAGGGCATTAGACGGACCCAACATATAAAGTGTCTCGTGCGAAGAATTATTATCCAATGGTATCTTTAGGCATTCTACATTTTTATCCTATTAATAATTATTTCGCCATCACTGTATGTGCGTACAATGTTGGCATATACATAAGATCGTGCTTATCGTATATAATCCTTTTATCTTATAACGGGTGACCAAGTATTTTTTTTAATTGCCTTTTTTTAACCAATCGTCGTGTCAAGCTGTCATGTTACTTTTGTTTAATATTCTTGCATTTACAATGCGTTCAACTTTATTACGAAAATTCACGTTCTGTAAAGAATGTGTTTCGCGCGATTCGCTCAACTTATGGTCGACATAATCGGCGTACGGAGCGTACTATTCCCATCACCCATCTTGAGACCCAACATTTATTATTGGATAATATTCGACCCATTAGACCACGTCCAGCACGCAGTGAAGAAAATATAACGGCTGTAGTTGAACACGAAGACCGTGGAGAGTCGATTCGGCGCCGTTCGCAGCAACTAGGACTAATATATGGAACGACTTGGCGCATTTTATGTCGAGATCTTAAATTGAAAGCGTACAAAATACAGCTTGCGCAAGAACTGAAGCCGCTCGATCTTTCGACATCGCTCCGCTCTATAAGCTCTTGAAAAGTTCCAAACATCACGCGTGTCATCCGCCAGTTATCAGTCGAAATGCTCGAACGAGTCATCGAAAATTGAACTCAACAGATGGACCATCAAAGACATAGCCGCGGCCAACATTTAAAAGAGATAATCTTTAAAAAATAAATGCCAAAGAATGTTCTTTCGAATGATAATAAACATTTCCTATTAAATTTGAATTTTCTGTGATTTTTTGTTTAAAAAAGTAGATAACCTCGAAATGGATCACCCTTTACAATCTGCCGAATTCATGAGCATGTAAGGCAAATGTATGAAAACAGTTTATATAGACAATTAATAACAGACATATATAATGTAAATTATACCAACTTCAAAAACATAAACACTAAAATAATGTTTTTAAACTCTATATAATTTTTGAATAGTAACTTTGAATATATAGATTAGTTAGTGGCAAAACAACGAACAATTAACTATGTTAAGCGAGACGGCTCAGTACCAGAGAGGCGTATTCAAGTATTAGAAACTAGAAAAATACGCTTATCTTTCGTGAAGGGTATCAAATAAAAGTCGTATGCAAATCTTTGGAAATAGCACAATCATATGCCGTCATTTCCTTCTCTATAATACAAGTACTTTACTTCAGTTTGTTTTTATCACTAGATACCGTTTCAAGCACTGTAAATATTTATGGTATTTGTTGTGGTGAATGACAAGCAACTGTTAAAAATATTTCCACCATTTAAGATTTTAAATAATTAAAATTGGAGCAAATATTTATAAGATATGACTTATTATGTTCGGTAGCATTCGAAAAGTATAAAATATACCTGACAGTGGATTAAGTGATGTAAAGATGTAAAGTCAGGGGGTAAGAAACCGCTTCTGGCCTATAGGTGTTTGACTTTTGAGTTCTTAGGAATTAATAAAAACAAGAAAAGCTGTTAAATTCGGCTATCTCTAAGCATTCATTTTTTATACTTTTTTCATTATATTTTTTCGAAATAAAAAATCACATGATATTTCAATTCAAATTTTCGAAAGACAAGGCTTGCTCTTAAATATAACTGTTAAATGGAAAACGCCCATAGTATACTCTGTTTAAAACGTTATATATATTAACTATATTATATTATACATATAAACACGAACTTCCGAAGTTTCCATGCTACTATAAAGATGTTATCGCCTATAATTGATTGATTAACTGTTAAGATACTCTTAGCTTTCTTGTCAATTAACTGGCAGTTGAAAATGGTATGAGTGGCACTTACTTAATCAGTATGTTTTGATATGTGATCGGACGCATAGGTATACCGGCGGTGCGCGAAAACCAATCGCCGATTTTACATATAAAAAATAATCAATATAGTCAAAAGTCTATAAATTCATATAAAGGAGTGTAATAAAGAAATTGCAAAATCATTTCAATGAAATAAAAATTAAACACAAAAAAATTTAACTGAAACAAATAAATATACTAAAACTTTGGCAAACAGACGAGTTTTAGTCGAAAAATGGCGGATCAAAAAGAAAAAAGTATACTCGATACACCCGAATACATTGGAATGTCTTTCGAACAACTTACATTCGATACTGAGGGAAACTGCTTACCACCAGTTTATGTGCCGACCACCATACCAAACGAGAAAGAACATACAGATGTGTCTTCAGCGGAAGACCCGCTTAAACCAGATTCAAAGCCTAAAATGCGTAGTCGCATTTTAACCTTAGAATTGCCGGTATTTCTTATATTTCTCTCGCTTCTGTTATCGGGCCCTGTTATGTTGAATCAAGAACTCTATCAAACTTGTGTCGCCGTCTATAACTACAATGAGACAGACTGTGAACCATTACGCGGTATTATACCAAAAACTGAGGAGGCAAAGGTATGAAGTGTACGAAAAATTATAACGGGAATGAATAGAAAGTTTTGCTACAAAAGTGTGAGCTGTAATTTTGGCAATATCGGTTTTAATTCGCATAAGCAAAGGATCTTCATAACGGAAATTCTGCCGAATGACTTAAGGGACAGAAGTGATTTATTGAAAAGAAATTTTTTAATAAAAAAATTAAAATAATGCACAGTTATAGAATTTAATGTACCTTAATATCAATTAATTAATATAATATTCACGTTGGAAGAAATTGGATCCGATCTTAAGAGGACCAACGAAAAAAAGTGGCGGAGAAGATTTTTCTGCTTAAAATTATCTCAAATCTAAACACTAAAAAAAAATATTACTACAATAGATGACAAAATGGTGGTCTCCCAAAAAAAATCGTTTTTTGTGTAATAAGTTACACTTCAGAGTGACTTAAAAAATTTAAATTTAAAATTTAAAAAATTATTCTTTCGTTCATTACCTGACAAATATATCTAAGAATGTTGCACGAAAATTTCAAACCGAGCCGTTTTAGAGAAATCTCTGAAAACATCGTTGCAAGAAAAACGCGTTTAAAGTTTTGGCAGCCGATTACGCTAAGTTAAAAAATTCAAATACGCTCATATCTCCAAAACTATTTTCCGGATCAATTCAAAATTTTCGGACAATGACAAATATGAATATAACCCTTAAACGTAAACTGCCCAGGTCCAACTCAGATATGAAATCACTAGTCTACGAGGGTTGCCTTTTATATATCGATATTAGAGAACAAAAACAAATATTAATCATCCCAAATCGCTTTATTGCTTTTCAAAATATGCTCCATTAAGATCTATACACTTTTGTATGCGTTTTAACCAATTGTCGAAGCACTTTTGCCACTCTGAGTGAGGTTTCTCACTCAGGCTGACCTCTTATTTTATTTAAAAATAAGTTATTCAGTGCAAAATTAGGACTTTACAGTGGATGACTCATTAAATCGATGTTTTGAGTGCTCAAAAATGCAGTTGTTTTAGTCCATGTGTGAGAGCTCGCATTGTCGTGGTGAAGAAAGAAAGAGAACTGTCAACCAAATAGTTGTATACCACTCAGAATTTACTGTTCTGCGTTGTTCTGTGGTTCGGGTTTTTCTCAAAAATCAGCAACCATTTGCTTGGAATTGCTTCGTGCGCGAACTACAATACAAAACATAAGATTCGGCTCATCTGGAAACACCTACACAGCCGACTACTATTTACTTTTGGGCTCATCAACAATGTCATAGACGTGCTTCGAAGCGATACTCTCGTTATTTTGTTAAAATTTCTCTCGACTAATCGATACGAGCCTTGTGTGAGATCCAGCGTGAACACATTTTGTTTACATATTACTGCGCATGTTCATGCAATATGGAATGTAACCCATTCGCACTCTGTCTATATTGTAGTTGTCTCAATCGATAAATCACATGACGATCTTGCAATATCATATTTGCGCACAGCGTCAAAAGTTTCCGGGACAAGAACTGATTTTGAATGACCTTCACGAAATCTGTCTTGAAATGAACTACGACCTCGATTGAATTCACATATCATATCATCGATAAACACTGGTACTTAATGGAGCTTCATCGTCAAAAATTTAATTAAGTTTATCGATGCACTATTGCTGAGTTAATCCACGTCGAAAGTTGTAGAAAATAATCGTGCGAAAATGTTCGCGACTTAATGCCATTTTTTGACCGAGATGAATATTGTAATTTACTGTAAACAAGACAAATAGCACTTGTATGACAAAACGTTCTGAATATGTATAACAGCAAAAATGTCAAACTTTTACTAACATGTTGTGAGTTGTCAGATTGTAACACTAGAGTTGCCAAATCCCGAAATATAAAAGGCAACCTACATACGTATGACTGCGGCCTTGAATGCTTATTGAAACATTCTTATCGATCATTTAATTGTTTAAATTTATGTCTTTTGTTCGCTTATCGAAATAACATAGTATAAAATACCTTTTTTCTGATAATACAAGGTGCGTTCCAAAGAAAACAGTAAAAAAGTAACAAAGTAAACTCTAGCGGCGCCATCTATATGTCGACTAGTGCGTTAGAATCTGCTATCCTTTATCGACTTCCACCAAAAATTTCATGACATTTCATCTATTGGAAGTGAAGTTATTGCGTTTTAAGTGTCGAGTATGTTTTTGTCATCGGTGCGAAAAGGAGCTTAGAACAAAGAGCCAACATTAAATTTTGTTTTAAAATTGGTAAAACTTTTACCGAAACGTTTCAATTGATTAAACAAGTTTATGGCGATGATTGCATATCCCGTAGCAGAGTGCACGAGTGATTTCAACGTTTTCAAAGTGGTAGTGAGGACATAAATGAGAAATGAGCCGAAACCCAAAAAATCGCGCCTGGAGAAGTCAAAAGTGAAGACAATACTGATTTCTTTTTATGATTCCAAGGGTATTGTTCACAAAGAATTTGTTCCACCCGGCCAAAACGTTAATGCGGTATTCTACCTTGAAGTTTTGAAGCGTTTGGTGCGCCGTATTCGACGTGTTCGGCCCGAATATCGCGAATATGGAAGCTGGCGTTTGTTGCACAATAATGCGCCGTCTCATCGATCGACGCTTGTGGCCGATTATTTGACCAAAAATCACATTTTAACAAACAACCACTCCCCGTATTCACTTGATATGGCACCGTGCGACTTCTACCTTTTCGGAAAAATGCATTTGCCGATGAAAGAAAAGCGTTATGCAGACGTGGAGGCCATTCAAAAGGCTTGCACCGGCATACTGGCGGTCATGCCGGGCAACGAGCTAAAGCACTCGTTCGACATGCTTTTGGACCGTGCAAAAAGCTGTATTAAAGCAGAAGGAGACTATTTTGAATTAAATTAATTGATTTTGCCGATAAAACCATTTGCTCTGTCTTTTTTAAAAGTCTTGTTTACTTTGGAACGCACCTTGTAGTATACGTATAAGCGAGGTCATATTTCATTATCTAACGAAGGCTTAAGTTAAGTTTTATTTACAAACATTGCACCATTCTTGGCCTTTTAGAAAATAACAATTTTAAAAACATTAGAAAAGAAAAAAATATTTTCTACGCCTATGCCTATTCACGTGCTATAAAACATTTAAATGCTACTTCATTTATACGAAAGCGAGTGCTTCAATAAATAGAAGAAAGAAATTAATTAGATTTTCTAACTGATAGAAATCGTTTAAGTTAAAATCAAATCCATTACAATGAAAAATCAAACAAGAAAACACTTTAACTTCGTTTGCACCAAGCAATAATACCTTTCACAAATACAAAAGATTTTATACATAGTGGGCCAACCTGAAAAATTTCTTCGAAGATTGTACCGTTGCCTCGGAAAATAATCCATGCCAAATTTCGTAAAAATATCTCATCAAATATAAAAGTTTGCATACAAGGATTTCGATCGTTCAGTTAATATGGTAGCTACTTCTATATGCAATAGTGAACCGACATCGGCAGTATCGATAAACGAGCAGCTTTTTGGGGAGAAAAGGACGTATGCAAAATTATTTGATCGATATCTCAAAAGCTTAGGGGCTAGTTATACAGACAGACGTACAGACTGGTGGACATGGCTAAATCGACTTAGATCGTCATCCTGATCATTTATATACCTATGTATATATTTTTATAGGGTCCACGACATTTCTTTCAGGGTGTTACAAGCTATGTGGCATTATCCTATTCAGGGTATAAAAAACATTTAAAAATATTAACTACTTAACTAAACGAATATAGCCTTTAACGATTGGAGTTGATAGAGATTTCAAACAAATACATATTTAAATTGTTTTCAATACTCAAGGCCGCCTTAATTATACCAAGAAGTTCCCTTAATTATAGTTAGCCGACCATTTCCCAATTATTTCACTTTCGTTTTAATTAGTACTATCCAATCTGGCGGAATATAATATAATATAATAATCTACTCTGTTTTAGACTGCAGGACCCACCAAGCCCTTAAAAGAATAAAGACATCGCCTTTTTTATACTCTCACAACCTGTTGCTACAGAGTATAATAGTTTTGTTCCCCTAACGGTTGTTTGTATCACCTAAAACTAATCGAGGTTATATATATATAAATGATCAGGATGAAGAGACGAGTTGAAATCCGAGTGACTATCTGTCCGTCTGTTTGTCCATCTGTGCAAGATGTAACTTGAGTAAAAATTGAGATATCTTTAGGAAACTTGGTACACATATTTCTTGGTACCGTAAGAGGGTTGGTATTGCAGAAGGGCGTAATCGGATCATTGCCACGCCATGATACAAGACACTTATTTGATATACAGGATCACATTAGGGAGGAGCATCTGTAGTTTTAAATTTATTTAAAAAGTGGGTGGGAACACGCTTTAATGTGCATATTTCCTAAACAGCTTAAGCTATAATAACAAACTTCACTGAGAACATGTGTTTTTAGCACTCCTATCGACAGTGTGAAAATGGGCCCACTACCCATATAACTACTAAAAGCGCAATTAATCAAGTTCTAAACACGCCAGAGACGTTCAAGTTTATTTCTGGGATGATATGAGATGACTTTATAGAAACTCGACTTCAAAATTAGGCAGTGGGCGTGCCACCGCCCACTTTTAGGTGAAAACCCATATCTTGGAATCTGCTTAACCGATTTCAACAGAACATTATTCTCATATTTCTATATTATAGCGCAAAAATGGGCGAAATTGGATTACAACCACGCCTATTTCCCATAAAACACCATTTTAAATATTATCTGATACTTTTGTTTATCTGAGAATTTTCAAAATTTTATGTTTATTTACATTTAAGGCAATCGAAAATCAGCTTCAGCCCTACGTAGCCCGAATAACAATGACGAACTCTATGTTGCATAATGTATGGCCGGGTATGCTAGTTCTTTTTGTGGGACCATGGTCGGATAAATTTGGCCGACGTCCAGTGTTGCTACTGAGCTTTACGGGTATGTACAACAAAGTCTCCAAAGAATTTGAAATAATTTTACAAACATACTTTACCATTTAATTCCTTAACCCCCACAGCCTTTTTTATTGGGCACATTATAACCACAATATTAGTAACTTTTTCCAAGGAGCTAGCATTGAACCCATGGTTCTACTTGTTAGGCGGCATGCCATCTACAATTATCGGTGGCAGTTGCGCTATGACAACTGTAGTCTTCTGCTATATATCTGACGTTTCTGATATGGAAAATAAAGCGAAGCGGTAGGTAATCCAGCTACGAACAAATTGGGATCTTTAATTGCGGAACGTTCATAATATCTGTTTTTTTTTTTAGTATGTTCTTTGTGGACATTGCTATGGGTTTGGGTGTAGTACTCGGCAATGTCTTGAGCAGTTATTTGTTACGTTACACCAGTGTCACCATAGTATGTGCCACATCTGCCACGCTTGTGCTGTTAGGTTTAATGTATATATTCTTTTTCATCGATGAAAGTTTGGATGCAAAGGAAACTACACTATCGGTAAGAAAGACTAGTCCCAATTTATAAATTAGGTTCACGTATTATGTTTGCGCCTTTTTTTTTAAATTTATTCTAGCATAAAGCGAAGAGTTTCTTTGATTTCGGACTGATAAAAGATCTCGTGAAGACTTGTTTTGCAAAGCGTCCAAATTATGGCAGAGCCATTATTGGTTGTACGATTTCCATATTAATGGTAACCAGCTTCATAATGCGTAAGTTTAAACTGAGGACTTTTTGATTTATAGCTTAAATTGAAATTTATGCGATTACCTCGAAAAATACCGTGAATTTTCTATCTAAAAATTAAAATATTATTTTATAGACGGCGAACAGGGTGTCTTCTACTTGTTTTTACGCAACAAATTCAATGTGACATTACAACAGTTTACCTACTTTATCGCCACTTTAATAACAATTAAGATGATAGGATGTGGCTTAGCATTCGCAGTCTTCAGGAAGGTATTTAGAGCAAGCCTTAATTGTTAACTGACATTTATTTGTTTTATTAATTTCTTTTTGTATTTCATTTCAGCTTCTCAAACTTCCTTATGCCACCATTGCTATGATGGGTTTAGCCGGTTGTGTCCTTGATCATCTTACACGTGGTTTAGCGCAAAGTTTCTGGCAAATGTATATGGCTTCCTCTTTCGGACTTATGTCAGGCATAACGGGTCCGATGTTGCAAGCAATCGTTGCAATGGCGGTGCCCTCAAATGAACTCGGTAATAAAAGTGGTTTGCAAGCCAACTGAACTTCTTCCAACTAACTAATGGCGTACATTTTTCTAGGTAAAGTCTACTCACTAGTATCGTGTGCACAAACTATGTCACCATTGTTGTCTGCGCCCTTGTACACTTACGTCTACAACCGAACACTCTATTTTTATCCTGGATTATTCAATTTCATTACCACGGGGCTATATGTGGAGTGCTTCTGTGTTATGATGTAAGTTAATTAAATATTCATCACCTTCTTTGCCCAGTGACAAGTAATAAAGTGGGAGAAAATTTAAAAATTAAAATTGTTATAGATAATGTTGGAAACGGTTGACCATTAAAAATCGATATGTAAAGGAAATCATCTAGATGTATTTCAACCATTAAAATAGTTTTCTATAAAATCCATTATCTCTCTGCAGTCGAGTTAAATGTGAACATCCTCCTTATTGGGAATTAAGTTATACACTGAACAGGATATATTAAGCTTGCCACGAATTTTTATAACACCCAGAAGAAAACGTCGGAGACTCTATAAAATCGATAGTATTTAAATAGTCTGCTGACAAGCTAGTCCCTTAAAAGAATATTTTTTTTCGCTTGGTAATCCGAAAAATTGGTTGGTAGACATCTCTAAGAAACGCTCTCCAAGTATCAGCTCTTAATTGGTTCTCCACTTTACCACTATTTATTTTGTTTATATGATCGGATAGAGAGAATCATATCTCGCTTCCAACTACTTGAAAATATATTTCGTTTTATGGTTTTGGAATTGAATGCTCTACAAAATTGTCTCTTACGTTTTTCCGTAAACCTAACGTTTAAAAGATATTATCAGATGAAGTTTGACTATTTTAAGGCAAATTCGTTTTTTTATTTTGAATTTTATAACTCAATGAAAGAACATCACTTTAAATTGTAAAGCTCGAAGGAAATTTTCTATTCTACAAAAATTATCTCTATACTTTTTCGATTACGCTAAGCGTTTTCGAGATATTCGTCGTCAAACATCAATGCCTACCAAAAGAAAACAAAAAAATAATAATAATAACAAAAAACAAAAAAAAATAAACCATAACATAGAAAGAAGAGACCATTAAAGCAGTAAATTTCCTACAAAACTATGAGCTTTGTAATTTAAAATAATCTTTTTCCATCGAGTTATAAAATTCAAAAGAAACCAAAGAAAATTTGCCTAAAAACCGTAAGAGAAATACAATGTTTTCAAGTGATTGGAAGCGGGATATGAATCTTTCTATCCGATCATAAAAAAAAATAGATAACTGTAAAGTGGAGGATCTTTATGTTACAATTAAGAGCTGATGCTTGGAGAGCCTTTCTTAAAGATGTCTACCAAAAAATTTTTCGAAGTACCAAGCGGAAAAAACATTCGTTTATTTTGACCCATCCTAAACTACATGTTGCAAGAGTATAAAAATTATCCCGATAAAGTGATTTTCACACCATCCTGCAATTATATACCTCTTAAGAAACATTTTATACTCGTATATATCCAATGTCAAAAGTAAACAGGAAGAAAAAATTCAGTCAGCGCCTAATTTAACCCTTTACTGTTATATTTTAATTCTACCATTTTATAATTTCTCTCCAACAGTTTGATAAACCTTTTTGAGCGACGAGTGGCTAACAAAGTAAAGGAATCTGAAACCGAAAATGGAGAAGAGGGAAAATCGCTAACTGAAAACAATGGAACAGCATAGCCTTGAGGCAAAGAAAATTAAGGAACTAACTTCAGATATATGTATGTACCTATGTAAATACATATGTATATGGAAATAGATTTTGTTTTATTTCTGGCATATATTCTTTGTTCAATTAATTACTAAAGTGCACTACAAAAGTAAACGTATTTGTAATAAACAAAATTTAGTTTTTAATTAGAAGTTATATTTAAAAAAAAAAAAAAAATAATTAATGTTTTTAATTACTAGTCGTTTTCATTATTGAAATTATATGTATAAATAAGAAGTTATATTACTTTGTTAAGGTACAATCTTATATAATTTAAAATAAAAATTTATTTACAAATTGCAGCCTTTTTTTTACAATTATTTTACATTTTCTGTGCCTTAGTATGCTTTCTAAAGTGAATAGCTAAAAAAGGCAAAAAACGAAATATCAAAGAAACACATTTTGTAATAGAAATTTTCATTAAGAAAATCGGGAAAAAATTATAGACAAAAATTAGACAAAATAGTTTTAGCTACCACGGCACCAGCTGGTGGAAGTTTTAGGGCACTATCTATCTTTCTATCTATCTATCTATCGCTTTGAAAGCTTCGAAAAATATTTCTCTGTAATATGAGATTTGAATACAGAACCCATTTAGTAAAGGGTGTTTTTTAGGCATGTGGTTTCCAAGAAGTAATAAAAAGCATATAATATTATTTTATGGCCAAGACTTATACCTTGTTTCGGCCGACACATAATGACGAGATTTAGGCTGTTGAGTAGATTATCTCACTAATCGACTAGATTTAGCAAGAGTAATGTGAAGTGAGGCTGACGAGACCGATCTAATAGAGTTGTGGCGAGAAAAATGCCACAGCTTCGATCGACTAGTCATAACAGCTGTTTTATAAATCTCCAACGGCATTGAGGTTAGTCTAGATTAGTGAGTAGATTAAATGTAATCTAATCACTTTAAGTGTTTAGTCGGTACACGGTTTTAAGTTTATTATAAAGATAAGAGTCGTCTAGTTGGAATTAAAGGTCGTCCACATCAATATTCTCCAATTCAGGCACGAAAAATGCATTAAATATGACTCTAAAACATTCCCCATTGACTAACATTATGGACCAAGCCCTTCTCAAATACATTTGCCCATAGAGCACAGCAAACTGTGACTTTTTGAGGACGTAACGGTGTCTCAACAATGGCTTGTGAATTATCATCACTCCAAATGCGACAATTTGGTTTATTAACGGAACCAATCAACCTAAAGTGAGTTTCAACACTGAACGCGAGACGCGCTTGATGCTCGTTCGTCTTCATTTTTAGTACGAGTAAGCTCGCAAACCGAAATCCTTGCATAAAATATTCCATTATGTGGATGAGCTCAGCTCCAATGGTTGCGCGATACCCTGCTCGAAAGCAGCAACAGCGTTTTCGGAGTACAGCATCTCTGTGGATGCGCATTATCCTCTAAAGTGCGTCGCGCGAACCGAACCATTGTTTTGGTAATAAATTTGCACGATTTGCAAACGTTATTCCGGAGTAAGTAAAATAAACTAAAAAGTGATGTTAACGATTATAACGCAAATCAAAGAGAAGCGTGGAAATCTTAAGAAACAACTCATTCATAATTTGTCAGCATTTTTCATTAATTCTCTTAAATTATCATCATTTATTTGTGATCATAAAGTAGTACGGCATTGATAAGTGGCTCTATCTTTATTATTTTCTTATCTTATAAGCAGAAATACATACTAAAATAAGTAAGGAAGTTCTAAGTTCGGGTGTAACCGGATATTTTAAACTCTCGCAACTTGCAAGGATCAAAGCAGGGGTGCCAAAATTTTATATTAAAAGAAGTATTCATCCGATTCAACCCATTTTTGACACAAAACATACTATTATCGAGAGTTTCATTTATATATTTTATTATATGAATTTAAATTATATTTATATCTTACATATTGACGATATTTTCGGTAAAAAGTCAACTATAGCCACTGGGTCCACATATTCAGCACCTAGGGGCTTGATCAGTTTGGTTCGATTTAGAGAATTTTTGGTCACAAGGTGGCACACTTTAAATGCATTATTCACACAAAGTTTTACCCCGATACAATCTTGTTGCTTGATTTGTATAGGGGAAAGTGAAAGAATCAGATGGAATTTAAAATGGTGTTATATGGGAAATAGGCGTGGTTACTGTCCGATTTTACTACTTTTCGAACTATAACATTGAAATATAAGAAGAATGTTTATGTTCCGAATTTAGTTGAAATCGGTTAAGCAGATCCCAAAATATGGGTTTTCACCTAAAAGTGGGCGGTGCAACGCCCACTGTCTAATTTTAAAGTCGGTTCCTATAAAGTCATCTCATACCATCCTAGAGATAAAATTTAATGTCTCTGGCGTTTTTAGTGCTTGATTTATCACGTTTTTAGTAGTTTTTAACAGTACCGTTATATGGGGAGTGGGCGCGCTTGTCACTCGATTTTACCCTTTTTACACTGTCGATAGAAGTGCTAAACACATTTGTTCTCAGTAAATTTTGTTATTATAGCTTTGGCGGTTTAGGAGATATTCACATTAAACCTATTAGTGGGCGGGACCGGGCTTCTTAGAAGATACGTTTTGGAGTCAGGTGAATCATGTGAAAGACTTCTCAAGTCTGTTATAAACAATGGCTTGCCAGCAAATATTCGAGATACAGAAAAGTTTCGGTACAAGATTTTCGTCTAGAGGAGTTGGTATTATAACTGAGAATAATACATCCACATTCTGAAAATATATAATACTCTTTAGAATATCAAACTTAAGTTTTCTAAAATCTGAAATTTCATAAGTTAACACTGTTTAACTGATATAAACTGATCTAAGTACGTTTCGAATAGCTCGGAATGGTTTCGAACTCTCTAATATTCACGCGGGAAATGTTTCCTACATCATTAAATATCTTTCTCAGTGCAGATCAATTAAGACTCCGGATCTAGAGAAACAACAAGAATCGAATCGTTCGTCTGCAGGACCGAATATTAAAAATAATTTAGAACGAAGACACTATAAACGGTTAAATGATACCAACCGTCACAGGCGCTCAGATACGATCTACCAACTATACTCGTATACCGTACATACTAACTCGATCGATGCTTTGAATTTACTACTGAAAGCACCAGAACAAGAGACAATTGGGTAAGTTATTTCTCTCACATCATGCCAAGTCCTATAAAATAAGAAAATATCAAAAACTTCAAAAACTTCAAAGCAATCATGTTTATTGAAAGTACTGAATTAAACTAAATAATGTGTAAACAAACAAGAAAAATAAAGAAATCATAGAGTGGCGTCCTGGAGAAGTTGTTAGACTCCCGAATTTTTAACTTTTATCCAAGCAACTATGTATGTACGTTATTTTATATATAATTCTTATATACATCGTGTATATGTATATACAATCGAAAATATTTTCTTTTGCGAGTGATGAGGAATGATAAACAAAATTCGCATCAAAAGCTGCTGCTTTTATCACTTAAATCACACCAGCGGAACGTACGTAAGATTAAGATTAACGCCTAGCTATATTTAAACACAGACAATATTACCTATCAGTCGTGTCATTGCGTGAGAACTAAGATAAATTCCGTACCATTTAACCAAAAGGCGAAAAAATAAAAAGTAAAGTTTTTCCGCTCAGTAGATTTGCATATACCTTGGTTCGTAAAGGTCTACACGCGGAGCTCGAAAATTTCAAAAATATATTAATTCTTGCCAAATTCACGCGTGTTAAATTAAAAAAATATAATATACATATGTGTGCAATGCAAAAAATCGCTTTTAGATTAGACCATCGAAATAACGAAAACTAAATTTGAAAGCTACAGTATTTACTGTTACATTTTAAAGTTATTGAAACGACAAATAAGTCCGCGTGACAAAAATGGTTGTAGAAACAATGACAGAACAAAAGAAGCGAAGCATACTCGACACACCCGAAGGCATTGGCTTGTCTTTCGAACAACTCACATTCGATACCGAAGGCAATTGCTTACCACCGGCATATTTACCTACAACACCACCAAATGAAAAAGTGTATACAGATGAGCCATCAGCTGAAGACCCGCTTAAGCCAGAGTCACAGCCTAAAGTACGTAGACGCCTTATGACCTTGGAATTGCCGATTTTTCTATTGTTTATTGCTCTGATGTTGGGCAGTTCTGTGATGTTGAACCAAGAGCTTTATCAAGCTTGTACTGCCGTTTACAACTATAATGAGACGGACTGTGAACCATTGCGTGGCATTATACCCAAGACGCCGGAGGCAAAGGTAAGTGTGTTTTTGTTTTCTTTATTTTTTTTTTTTTTGTGAACAGCTTGGTAATATCTAGAGACGTTCTTTTCTGTCCGGTATAAAAACAAAAAGAAGCCGACCTAATTTGTAGTAATCGCCTTTGAAGTAATCGCCTCATAAATCATGGAAATATTTATATTTGCATAAGCTTGCATGATGGAATAATACTTTTTAAATACATAAATATTTGGATATACATTTATAAACCGTCGAGTTTTCGTAAGCCTAGGATAAAGTAAAATTCATTAGCAAAAATTTAAAAAGAGGTCAAACTGAAATGTTCGTATGTTTTTAAAGAAGATCGCATCGTTTTTTGCAAAATTCGATTATTAGCTCAACTTATGTACATAGATGCCATGGGGAGTGATGATTATAGCAGCTCCCTACTGTTCAGAACCAGTTTTATGGTACTATTGGTATTTTGCTTCAAAATATGCCTAAACTGGGCGATTTCTTTACAGCGACATTGTTTTTGTGGTCTGAGAACAGGAAAAGCAAGACGCAACGGTGGCAAAGTCAGGTTTAGATTTATTATGTGTTTGGTGCGATTCACAAGGAATCATATACTTTCGAGTTATACCCTTACGGCCAAATTCTTAATTCGGACCTTTACTGTCAACAATTGGAATGTCTGAAGAAAGCAATCTCCCAAAAGCCCTCAGCTTTGGCTAATAGGAGAGTAATTGTCTTCCATCTGGACAACGCCAGGCTACATATATCGATAGTTACTCGTCAAAAGCACCAGGAGCTTGGTTATGATGTTTCTTTGAATTCACCTTATAATGTGGACCAGGCACCAAGTGTACTACCTGTGCCTGCCTGTGTCGAATTATTTTGCTAGCGAAAAATTCGCCTCAAAAGAAGCTTGTAAAAATCGACTGTCCCCGTTTTTTGACAATAGAGACAAGGATTTTTATGAGCGTGGCATTATCGAATAACCTCAAAGTGGCAGCAATTTATGGAATAAAATTATTCAGGGGTTTTGTAGAATCAAAGGCAGATTTGCGTAGTTGTTAGAATTGAAAACCAGTTCTAATTTTCAATGGTGTCACAGAATCGACACAGATCGAGTCGAATTGTGACAAAACTTGCAAATGAATAAATGTGGGAGCGTTTGATAAATTTGATATACCGAATAAAGTCTACTAAAGTTTACAATGAGTTCCTCTATTTTATCTTTTATTTTATTAGAAGAAAAAAGCAACGAAAAGATCACAGTAATCCACTTGATGCACCAGGGGAGTCGTATTTGAAATTTGGCTTGCATTTACTTGTATGTTTGTATACATGCTTACTTTACAGATTTATATCACATTATCGACTGAATAAAGACGTATTTTGGTGTTAAATTACGTTTACGACGTTTTGTAAATCCTATTAAAATATCTAGATTTTTCCATAAACTCGTACATAACATAAATCGTAACAATATAAATTTTTTTTAACTTACATTTAAAATCTGTCAGCGAATATCCTCTTGCTTTCTTTCTGATAACAAAACCGATCAAATTCGTTTCAGTGACACCCAAAACCGATACAATTTCTGTTAACGTCAAACCAATAATATCTGAATAAATCTGTCTAATGACACCTACTACATTTTTTATCGGTTTCAATTCTGAACCGACAATTATCAGATTCTACAACACCCCTGATTATTATATTTATATTACTATTGTGTTATTACAATATTGTCATAGTGTTAAGAAAAATCTCAAAATAATTAATTTTGAGCGAATTATTTTTGTTCTCTTAATTTTTTTAGGCCATTGAAAATCGTATTCAACCTTACGTTGCTCGAATTACCATGGCATATTCTATATTACATAACGTATGGCCAGGACTGCTCGTGCTATTCGTAGGACCATGGTCAGATAAATTTGGACGTCGACCAGTACTACTGGTAACTTTTGGAGGTACATACAAACACTAATACGAAACTGTTAATTATTGTCTTACTGATTACACACTTACTCACACCACACAGCCTACTTCATTGGTTACACTATAACAGCAACATTGGTGTACTTTTCGAAAACGCTCTCACTTAACCCCTGGTTCTATCTTTTGGGCGGCTTACCATCTACCATTGTCGGTGGCAATTGCACAATGATGACTGTCATCTTCTGCTATATATCTGACATCTCCGATGTGGATAGTAAAGCAAAACGGTAAGTGCGGGGTTAGGAGATGGATTTGTGGATGGAAGGGATAATCGCTTTTTGATTTGTTTTCAGTATGTTCTATGTGGATTTGGTTATGGGCGTGGGTATAGTATTCGGCAATATAATAAGTAGTTACTTGTTGCGCCTCACGAATGTCGCTACAGTTTGTGCAACATGTGGTATGCTGGTGTTCATCGCTTTAATGTATATCATTATTTTCATTGATGAAAGTTTGGATGTTGAAAAGACCACATTGTCGGTACGTGAGAATTAGAACTGCAATTTTAGATGATTTTAAGATTTTTTTTATAATATTTACATTTCAGCATAAAGCTAAGCGATTTTTTGATGTGCGTTTAATCAAGGATCTCGTTAAGACCTGTGTGGCACGTCGACCCAATTATGGACGCGCTATTATCGGTTGCACAATATCGGTTCTAATGGTATCTAATTTCATACTATGTAAGTATTAAGGTTTTAATACTTTTTAGCAAGCTTATGAATTAAAAAATTTTGCATTCTACAGACGGTGAATACGGTGTGTTCTACTTGTTCTTGCGCACCAAATTCAATGTCACATTGCAACAGTTTACCTACTTTAACGCCATTACAATAACAATTAAGATGATAGGTTGTAGCTTAGCCTTCGCAATATTTAGAAAGGTATATGAATGAAATTTAATATGAAATCTTTAGAATTATTACTTTTTAACCGCTTTTTATATTTGAATATAGCTTTTCAAACTACCACTTGCCGTTATTGCTATGGTGGGTTTGGTTTGCTCTTTTCTAGATCATTTAGGCCGTGCTTTAGCACAGAGTTTCTGGCAGATGTATATGGTCTCGTTATTCGGTATTATGTCGGGCATAACAGGCCCTATGTTGCAAGCGATCGTTGCACTTGCCGTACCACCTAGTGAACTTGGGAAAGTTTACTCGCTAGCATCTTGCTTTAAGACGCTCTCACCACTAATTGCTGCGCCCTTGTACACATACGTCTACAATCGTACGCTGACTTTTAATCCCGGATTATTTAACTTCATTAGCACCGGACTTATCGTGGAGTGTTTCATAGTAATGATGTGAGTAATAAAGCTCAAATATTGCTTAAACGACTTTAAATGTCTTTAATAACTGTATTCTTATGTAAACGAGATTTATTTTTAAGTTTTCGAAACCAAGTTTGGGTTCTCATAAAGTAAAATTCGTTTTTTTTTGTTTTGCCTTTTATATAACCAATAACCAAACCACCACGTGGTGATTTTTTTTTCAAAGTATTCTAGTTTAGCGTTCCGAATTTCGAGCGTTAATTGATGAAAAAAATCTTTTCGATCCATTTTTATACCCTGAACAGACATTTTCAAGTTTGCCACGAAGTTTGTAACACCCAGAAGAAAACGTCGTAGACTACAGGTCTATCTGTCCGTCCATCTCTCTGTATATATGCGAACTAGCAGTCCCTCAGTTTTTTATATCTCAATCTGAAATCTTGCGCACGTCCTTTCTTTCTTAAGAAACTGTTCATTCGGAACCGCCGATATTGGACAACTATAGTATGAGAAACTGAGAAAAAAAATTCTTACTTTCTTAACTTTCTCGAATTTTTAAAAACATTCGAATTAGAATTTTTCAGTTTTTGTTCGTTCATACTGGAAAGATATTTAAAGAATATTTATGCCCAAATCTCAAGAAAATCGACTGGACGACCGCATTGAAAAAAAGAGTTCCACGAAAAACCCCTTTAAAGTTCATCTATAGAAACAAGAACCACGAAACAAATTTTTAAATGACTAGACTACAACAGAATGACTCCGCAACAGTATTATGAGTACCCAACAATATCTAACTATAAATCTCAATTGCTATAATCAATTTTGTTCTATACTAATTTTAAATTTTTCTTTATTTATATATATATATATTATATACATATATAATAGTGTAATAAATATATATGAACGACGAGCTGCTGCCAAAAAGAGCAAAGATGCTAAAAATGGAGAAGCGGAAAAACCTCAAACAGAAAAGCCTCCGGCAGATCTTAACACATAAAAAGATAAACTTATGTTAAGTTGTTATTACAAAAACAAAAATTAATTAGTAAAATTGCGTGGTATTACTGTTGGTAGGGCTTTACTGTAGGTGTAGTGTTACTTTTGAAAAATAAAAACCATAAAATAGTTTTAATGATTCAATGAGTTTTTTTTTTTGCATTAACTCGTGTAGCACCCGTACATCGAGCTTTTTTTTTGTAACCAGCCCTATTTAAATGGTTCCAAATGGTTTGTTGTTTAGCTATTGGACAATCGGAACGGTTCTTTCGTGATGGTCGGACGATTTATATATTTAACGATATTTTCGACAATTGGCCTTCCAAAGTGTGATGCATCTTTGACACCAAAATAACCGAAACGGAATCGACGTATGAATTGCGCATGTTTATTGACTGCTACAGTATCAGGACCATAAACACTATTCACATTTTCAGACGCCTGGCTTGAGTTTTTGTCCTTATCTGGTGTCCATTTTTGACGCGTGATCAAACTATATTGAGCCAAGCAACCAGAAAACCGTCTGAGAAGCTTTTTTACTACGAAATTTATTTTTTAATAGCATATAGCGCCACGAGACCCAGATTACTCAAGCCACCAACTCGAAAAATAATGGATTTCTTTTTACAGGACCTTATTGTGTCAAGCTACACTTTTCCGGGTGCCATAATTTCGTCAATGTAATGGTTCACGTTCTTCTGGTTGAGCTTGTTGTGTATATGTCAAAGAATAAAATTAGGTTAGTATAACTGACAGTAACATTGACCGAATACTAAATATTTTATTGTTAATAAAGTGTGGTTTTAACGTGTGGTTACGAAAAATATGGCACAAAATATGCATTGAAGGTCGTGCCAAACCAAATACCAAGACCTGATGCTTCAGTTAGTGACCGATGTGTCGGCCTTCCGTACTTACCGCCCCTATCAAACGAAATTTGACAAAAGTTATGCCCGTAGTGGCAACGTAGAAATCAGTTGTTCTCTTTTGTTTTCATTTAACCAATGTTGCCATTGCTCAATTCGTATAGATGGTTTTGCACACATCTAGATTTTCAGTTATCAATTGTATAAAGAAAAAGATCAAAACTAAAATCCAACTATTAAAAATAGTATATCTATTTATAAATAATTGTATTCGACTGTGATTTTGAGTTAGTTTAAGAATACTTTAAATATATTCAAATTTACTTTTTAATTACTACAAAATATCGAAACTGGCAACTCTATGTTGTAAGAGAGCAATCTGCTGACTGGTTTCTACGGGAAAAAATCAAATTTTCATGGATATTCAAGTACATGATAGGTAGAAGCGGACGGTAGCAGCGGTGGTGAGCGTTCATTTATATGGCGCTCTTATAAGATAGGTTGTATCAGCTGATTCGGTTTACGGTTTTGCGTCGATCACTAACTGAAGCATGAAACTTTTGCAAAAACGACTTTAAAGGCGATAGTAAAGACTTGTATTAAGATGCATGAAAATGTAGTTTTCTTTTGTCAGCCGGAAATGTGATCATATGGCTACCGAATAAACTCATTTCTAACAGATCACATAATTTTAAAATACACATTTACGATTTAAACAAGCTTTTTAATAAAACTAATCTATCTTTGTTCACTACCTGACACCTTTTTTTGAAGGTCCTAATAGAGATCGGCTACGGGATCTAGGGAATCATTTTTTTTTTGTTTCAAAATGAATCGCCGATTATTAGAGTACATTAAATTCTATAAATGTATATTATTTTTTATTTATTTATTTATTAAATACATATAATTAATGTGATCCCAAAAAAAATTGCCAATATCTATAAGTTTTACTAAATACGAATGTTTGTCATTTTTGGCAAATGGGCTAAGTTTGCTACTTTTTTACTAATTACTAAGTTCAACTGATTGAACCTTAAATTTCCCCTCCTTTATACTCCAGTACACGTTAATTCCATAAATTATTTGTTGAATCGTTCTAAATTACTTTACACAATATAGTGTTTAGGTTCAAAATTGAATACTTAAATTTATATAATTTTATTCTTATTTTGACCTCGGAATGTAGTTTAAATGCCATCATAATAAAAAAAAAATGTCAGTGATAATTACCGGGTACGCTCCGCATTGCGCTAAAAATTAAATGGAATTCACAAAATTTTTATGTACATTGCCAATAAAATAACTATCAAATAAAAGGTAATTAAGTTTAGAAATAATGTAATAACGTTTAAAATTGGTTGCCGGTTGGTTGAATTGATTTCGGGAAAATACATTAGGCAGAGGCTTTTAGATTGTATCTAGTATCGCGAAGATGATTTCATAGTGTATTAAGCTACAACAAACAAAAAAGATAAAGATTTCAGATTTTCTGGTTGACCTCTTCCTGATCTACCTAATAAATTATTAAATTTAGCTGAGTTTGTACAAGTATATATCATTTCAGTAAATTAGGTTGATTTTAGTAAAAAATCTCGGAAACGAAGCAAAATGTAGTAATGGAACTAAGTGAGTTTATGGAACCCTTAATATATATTAATAAGATACCAATTAAAACGACAGTTATATCCACTAGCAAATCATAAAAAACATATATTTTGTGAATTTTCTTTATTTGAAGAAGTATTTTATTTAATAAATAAATAAAAATATTGAGCATTTACAGATTTTAATGTACTTTAATCGGCGATTCATGTTGAAAATTTTGGATACTCTCAAATCAAAAAAAAAAGGATTATAACAATAGACAAACTAAGATCGTGGTAGAAGAACTAGTGAAAATTTTTGAGTTTTTCCAAAATTTCAATTTTCCCAAAAATATATAGTTTTTATACCCGAAACAGGGATAATAAGTTTGCTACGAAATTTGTAACACCCACAAGAAAATGTCGGAGACCATAGAAAAAATGTATATATGTATATAAAAGATCAGCGAGACGAGCTGAGTCAATTTACAATAGTTATGTCCGTCTGCATCTATATACGCGAAATAGTCCCTCAGTTTTTGAGATATCGATTTGAAATTACAGATCGGACCACTATAGCGTATAGCTGCCATACACACTGATCACTCAAAATCAAGTTCTTGTATGGAAACCTTTTTCATTTTGTGTTTTCGGTGCAAGCGAAGTTAAAGATTTTTATTGTTTGTGAAAAAAATCTTCACCTTAGAATGGCTTATCGAAATTATTATAAAAAATCTTATTCCTTCCGTCATTATCCGGCAAATATTTATGTATATCTAAGGTATGTGAATTTTTGACCCCTTAAATCATTGAGCAAACTGTTAAAATAATCTCTCTGGATTTCACTACATAACAGCATACAACGCAAACAACCATTAGATGACAAAACTGCAAAACTATACCTAACTATGGCGTTTACACACACATACATACATATATTGTCATAATAAGTATAGTTGATAGAGAAATTGAGTTTTAAAACAACAAAAAATTTCAATTTGCTATATATACATTATACTTTTACAAAGGTGTGAAATTTAAATAAGTGTGAAAATCCAGATAACCCATTCTTTGGCAATTCTTTGTACCAAGATCATAGATATTCATGTGACTATCTTCAAAGCTGCGTTTAGATTTGGGGATAAGCTCGAAAAGAAATTTGCATCACAAAAAAATCTCTACCAGAAGACCAAACGGAATCAACTTCCGTTTAAAATTTCTTACGCAAAAATACATATATACTCGTACACATGCATTTGTATAAACACCCACAATTAGTTAGTTATCGCGCGATAGATTACCAACCCAAAACATGCCCCTTCAACACACTAGAGAGCTGAGCAACGTCAAAGTAGCAGCGAGCTAGTCAGTATAATTTAACTACTGAGCGCACACACATGTCTAACGGCGAAATGCGAAGTGTTTAAGCGAGCGTATATAGAGAAAACAACATTTTATGGCAGAAATGTGCGAAATTTTGTTTATCTTTGAACGAAATTATGAGCGATAAGAGTGGACAAAGTAATAACAAAACCAATCATTTTAACTCACACAAAGCGCGATAGACGATCGGGTTTGTAAACAATATTAAAAAGTGTTAATTTCAACTTGCTCTCGACTGAGTTGCCTTTAAAAAGCAATAAACTTAAATTAAAAACATTTGACGACAAGAAAAATGGCCAAGAAAGACGACAGAGCCACACCAGAGACACCGTCGTCGGTTAGCACCGATATGTCGTTCGACCAGAATACTTCCGATACAGAAGACCGTTACAGGACACCTACCTATATGCCGACCACCAGCACGGATGGCTTGCGAGCAGGTGAATTTACATCTACCGATCCGCTTACACCACAAATGAGGCATATGCCGCGCAGACGCATTATGTCCTTAGAACTGCCGGTGTTTTTAATGTTTCTCGCTACTTTATTATCCGGTGTGGTCATGCTCAATCAGGAACTATATCAAACTTGTGTAGCCGTGTTCCACTACAACGAAAGCGACTGTGAACCGCTTCGTGGTATTATACCTAAAACTAAGGAAGCGCAGGTGAGTTTTTATCAAGTTAATATGGTGTGAGTGGTATATGGTATATCAGCGTGACGAGCTGAGTCGATTTAATCATGTCCCTCTGTATATGGTATCAGCGATCTAGTCGCAGTCAATCGGTTTTCGAGATATCGATCTGAAAATATGTACGCGTCCTTCTGTCCCCAAAAGAATTGTTGGAACCACCGATAGCGAGCCACTATAGCAACCCTCGCGCAACTTCGTTCCGGATACTGTAGCAGATTAAACTCCTACTTATCCAGAATTGACCCCGACATACTAAACACATGTCCTGCGTGCAATGAGTCTCCGCATGACACTAACCACCTCTTTGCATGCCCAACAAACCCCACCCATCTAACACCCTTCTCCCTATGGTCCGACCCCGTCGAAACAGCTCGTTTCCTGGGCCTCCCGTTAGATGACCTCGACGACAACGAATCTGGAACTTATCACCCAAACGGGGACTATAGCATATAGCTGCCTTATAAACTGATCAAGCAAGCTCAAGTCCTTGTATGGAAAACTTTTTTATTTAAGAAGATATTTTCACAAAATGTGGCATAAATTATTGTCTAAAGCAAAGCGACAATCTCCAAATATGTTGTTCAGATCGGACCACTATAGCATATAGCTGTCATACAAATTGGTCTTTAAAAATCTTTTTATACCCTTTTATGCTATAACAAATAAACCTGTGAAGGTGTTATAGTTTCAGTGCAGCTGAAAGTAAGTTAGAAAATACTAGCACGTAAAAATATGTCTCTTCCTCTCTTTAATATTAATTACATATAATTTGAAATATTATTTGACTGCAGTAAAGAATCCCAATTTAAATTGTGATCAATTAACATAGTAATGCCACAAAATTTTAATTTGTATTCCTCACGCATATTTGATTAGTAATCTTGTTTTGTGACAAATTCGGTTTGGGATTCACCCGGCAGGTGTTTTAATTTGTTGTTTATATTTATGTGAATGACGATGTTACTGTTATTGAGTATTGGCCAAAATTTGCTTGTTTTGCTCGACTATTGTCAAAAAACTTGTTATACACCACTGATAAAATAGCGAAATGTCTCAAGTAGATTTTTATCAGCAGCGAAATTTGTTTTTCATAAGCAAAATTTGATAATTACAGTGATGTGCGTTCAAATTGTAATAAAATAAAAGATAAGGAAAGAGCTATTAAGTTGCTTCAATATTCAGAAAGCAATATGTTATTGATTTATTCGAAAGTGTCCTAGAAGATATGATCTCTATGTATAAATATATGTACATATATACGAGGTGTGTTCAAAGGAAAAGGTGAATTTTGATTTTACGCGGGCTGTGTACATTCGATTAGCGATATTTTATTTTTGTTATAATCGGACACATATGTTTATCATGTGCTTGCATTAGGAGCCAATTTCGATTAGTAGTTTGTTTTTGACAACAGAAAATGCTGAACAAGTTTTTGTGTGCTCTTCGATTTTAACCTTTTGAAAGAAATGGATCAAAGAATATGTATTAAATTTTGCGTTAAAAATGGAATAAAGTGCTCCAATGCACTTGAAATATTGATTGTGGCATTCGGTGAGTCTTCGGTGAGAAGGCCGAGAAGATGTTGATGACGATGAGCATTCTGGAGGTGTGACCACGTCAACAAGCGAAGAAAACATCGAAACAATGAAAAAATTGTTTTTAAAATACGTCGAATCACTATTAGGGAAGCTGCAGAGGATGTTGGCATATCAATAGGCTCGTGTCATTCGATTTTCTCGAATTTTTTGGACAAGAAACGTGTGGCAGCGAATTTTGCTTCGAAATTGCTAAATTCTGAGCAAAAGCAAAATCGCATAATATCGCTCGGAAGCAAAAAAAAAACCCTCAACCACCGTATTTACCAGATTTGGCTCCCTGCGACTTTTTCCTATTCCCAAAACTGAAGAAAACAATGAAAGGAAAGCATTTTGCCACAATTGATGAGATCAAGTCAGAATCGAAGAAAAAGCTGATGGCCATAGCGAAAAGCGCATTACAGAAGTGCTTGGAAAAAGCGTTGGGGGATTACTTTGAAGGGAACAAAATAGATATTGATTAATAAATATATAATTTTCAAAATAATTGAAAATTCACTTTTTCCTTTACATACACTCGGCAGAAAAACTCTGCGTGCACGCTAATATCTTATTTTCTTTTGTTAACAAATAACTTTTATATAAAAAATTTTAGATCATTATCATATTAAGTGCTTTATTACTAGTCTATTGCATAATCCCATAGCATTTAAAGCAATGAAAATCTGACACCATAGTTTATAATAAATATATAAAAAATAGTAAATTGGCAATGCAGAAAGTCTGCGTACAAGTAGTAAATTGGGGATTCCCCTCGTAATAACCAAAATAAAAGTGTCGGAGAGTTATAGATTTACTTGTTTTCGTAAAAGTAGCAATTTAAAAAAATTTTTGTTATATTCATTTTGTTATTAAATTTAGAATATCGAATCTCGCCTAAAAGAAAAGAAATAAGCCTTTCTGAAAGGTAAAAAATTGTTAAACTTTTCGAAGAAAGAAATACATACCCTGAAATCGGTCGAATTTTGGTTGAGAACACTTTCATTCATACAAAGAGTAATAAAAAAAGTACAAACATACCGGCGTTTTTGTATCTAGGTGCGTCCAGGGGGCCAAAAATACTAGCACCGCGTGAAACTAGTAACGTTTTGCAAAGTGTGAAGAAAAACCTTCGATTTACTGCACTCAAAATCAACCAAAATGTTAAGAAATTTTTAAGAAAATCCCTCTGCACTGACAACATTCACAAAATTATAAAAAATAAAAAAATATGATATGGGTGTGCATAGTTAATAACTGTTTGTCAAATGGAATTTAAAGAGTCCGCCATGGTTAAATATGCATACTTTTATATTTAAAAAAAATTAATTTGAAGCAAAGAGCGGTAGAGTTTGGTCTTGGATGTGACTCCTATTTTTACAGGATAACGACCCAAAGCATACAGCAGACATAGTTAAGCTTTAGCCTTATAAACTGATCAAGCAAGCTCAAGTCCTTGCATGTGTGATTAGAAGTAATCTTGTTTTGTGTCAAATTCGGTTTGGGATTCACCCCCAGGTGTTTTAATTTGTTGTTTATTTTTATGTGAATGACGATGTTACTGTTATTGAGTATTGGCCAAAATTTGCTTGATGTCGACTATTGTCAAAAAACTTGTTATACACCACTGATAAAATAGCGAAATGTCTCAAGTAGATTTTTATCAGCAGCGAAATTTGTTTTTCATTAGCAAAATTTGATAATTACAGTGATGTGCGTTCAAATTGTAATAAAAAAAAAATTAGGAAAGAGCCATTAAGTTGCTTCAATATTCAGAAAGCAATATGTTATTGATTTATTCGAAAGTGTCCTAGAAGATATGATATCTATGTATAAATATATGCACTTATATACGATATGTGTTCAAAGGAAAAGGTGAATTTTGATTTTACGCGGGCTGTGTACATTCGATTATCGATATTTTATTTTTGTTATAATCGGACACAATTTATATATAAAAACTTTATATTTAAAAAAAATTAATTTGAAGCAAAGAGCGGTAGAATTTGGTCTTGGATGTGACTCCTATTTTTACAGGATAACGACCCAAAGCAGACATAGTTAAGCTTTAGTTACTCTACAACGTTCCCAAGCAGATTCAAACATCATCAAAATCATCAGATTTTAATCCTAAATGCCCTTAAAATTCACTGGTACGCAAAATCCGCCAACGAACAATTACCTCAAAGGGTATGCTCAAGGATGTGCTGCACGAGGAATGGGCTCACATTTGTTCACAAACCTTTAGCGGAAGTTTTAAAATGTTGGGGATATCCAACTTCCTATTGAAGAAGAATTCGCAAGAAGAATAACTTTATTCGACTTATGTACCTTCTAAGCAGACTTTTTCTAATAGATTTTCCGAGTTTTTGTTAATTCTAAAGTTTATGCGGACAATTCCGCTTCGGTTCAGGCCTTGGAACAAAACATCACGCGTGTCATTCGGCAGGTTCTAGTCGAAATACTCGAACGAGTCTACGAAAATTGGGCTCAACGGATGGACCATCGTCCGGCCAACATTTGAAAGAGATAATCTTCAAAAAATAAATGCCAAATGTTTTTTCGAAAATACTTTGGAGACGCTATAAATTAGATATCTATTTATTTATTTAACCATGTCCGTCTGTCTGTATAAACGCGAACTAGTCCCTCAGTTTTGAGATATCGAACTGAAATTTTGCACACCCTCTTCTCCCCAAGAAGCTACCAAATTTAACAAAGAACTGAGCAAACAAAATAAAGTTCTTGTAGGAAAACTTTTGTATTTGTGAAGGGTATTATATCTTCGGTGCAACCGTAGTTAACATTTTTTCTTGTTTTTATAATAATTTGTAGCCAATGTCTACTCATATATAATAACACTGGCTAACACTGTTTTTGTCACACGAACTTTGTGATGATTTTTATTTATGTTGATGTACCCTCATTAAAAATACATATATAATAATTTTGTTTCAAACACGTCCACGGTTAAGCACGGTTAATACTGGGTTCGACATAAATGTTGTGTAACGTGTGTGAGACTGCTAATAAGTTGGGCTAAACAAAAACCCAGACATAAGCCATTTACTTTACCAATTATATGGACCGAACTAAGTGATCATGTAAGTGATTGTTATTTTCGTTTGACTCAAACAAAAGGCATTACAAACAAGTCCAAACACACAACCTAGTATTCAAACTTGTTTTCAGCTAACAGACCCATCCTACATAGTGCCGAATTCACCAAAAATGTTCTTCAATAAATTGACTATTTTGAAAAAATATGGAACAATGATTCGCTCTGCTCATCGTAGACACCAAACAGTGACTTGTAACATGTAACGGCGTCTCAACAATGACTTGTGGACTAACATCACTTCAAATGCGACAATTTTGTTTATTAACGTACCCATTCAGCCAAAATGGACCTAAACGCTAAACAAAATTTTCTTGTGAAAATCGGCATCAATGGACATTTCGTTTTGGGTCCGTTCACCATACGTGCGGCGCACTTGATGATCGTTCGGCTTCAATTCTTGTCCGAGTTGGATTTTGTAAGCCCGCAAACCAAAATCCTTCCGCAAAATGTTCCATGAAGTGGATGAGCACGGCTCCAATTGTTGCGCGCGATGGCGCATGGACTCATTCGTGTTTTCTTCAATTTCCTGCTCCACAGCAGCAATAGCGTCTTCGGTGCGCACTATACGGCGTCTCTGATGATGAGCATGATTGCTCGAATTACCGACTCTGCTGGGTAATTATGTCGACCGAATATTGAACGCAGCGCGCGGTGCGTCGCGAGACCCGAACCAGTATTTAGGTAATCAATTTGTACGATTTGCAAAAGTTGTTTCGGAGTTCGTCTGTTTATTATAAATGTAATTCATTATGTGTACAAATAATAGCAAATCAAGCTAAGTATAAAGCAAGTAGCAGCTGTCAAAAAGAAAAATTTCGAAAAAGGTATTGCTTCATTGCAAACCACACGTCTAAATAAAGGAATCCGGAATTATGTAGACGATTAAACATGGTACAGACTCGCAAATAATTAGGTATGTACCATTCCGGAAATGGTATATTTAAGGTAATATGGACAGAAAATTATACCATCTTCAAAAAATGTTAATACTAAAAGAATTTTTAAAATTTTATGAATTTTCTTTCAATTAATATTACTTTTGAGTTTAATTCTTCAGAAATCGATCAAAAAACCGAAAAATAGCAAAAATTGTAACATAGCGCCACCTAGTGTAAGCTTTAGGCCAAATTTCACTTCTCGACTATAAATACATAACATAAGTGGCTCTAAAAAACGACAGTAGAGATTAAGCAACTCTTTTCTGAACTCAAGATCAACCCCCAATTCTATGTAATTAAAATATTTCCCCCAATAAACTTAAGGAGGAGCTGTCATATGCCAATATTCCTTAAGATGATTATTGATTTATAAAGATTTAGTAATTTTTTTTTTCTAAACAGAATATTTTAAAAAATCAACTTACTGAAATACACAAAAAAATAAAAAAAGAATTTCACTGTATTATTTCGAAATAGAAAATTCCATGCATATTTCAATTAAAATTTTCGTCTGAGAAGGGTTGCTCTTAGAGATAACTGTTAAATGGCAAACACCCATAGTACACTCAGTGCTCGCTGCGAATCGGTTATATTTAAACTCAAACTTCGGAAGTACATGCGACTTTTTCCTGCTATCATAAAGATGTTATCGCCTACACTTATGTTTGATTAACTATTAAGATACTCTTAGCTTTCCTGCCAATTTACTGAGAGTTAAAACTGTATAAGTTTCACTTAATTAATTATTGTTTTGGTATGCGATCGGACGCATAGGTGTACGGGCGGTGCGTGATTTAATAAGTAAAATAAGAAAGATATTGTGAAAAAGCTATAAACTCATTGAACTGAAGTCCAAAACTAACAAATATACTATAACTTGCGCAAACAGATGAGTTTTTGTCAAAAAATGGCGGATCACAAAGAAAAACGCATACTCGATACACTCGAAGGCATTGGCATGTCTTTTGAACAAGTCACATTCGATACTGAGGGAAATTGCTTACCACCAGCTTATATGCCGACCACCATACCAAACGAGAGGGAACATACAAATGAGCCATCAGCGGAAGACCCGCTAAGGCCAGAGGCAAAACCTAAAGTACGTAGAAGTATTTTGACCTTAGAATTGCCGGTATTTCTGATATTTCTCTCGCTTCTGTTATCGGGTCCAATTATGGTGAATCAAGAACTATATCAAACTTGTGTCGCCGTCTATCACTACAATGAGACAGACTGTGAATCACTGCGCGGTATTATACCCAAAACTCAGGAGGCAAAGGTATGAAATGTTCAAACAAATATACTGGCAATGAATAGAAAGTTTCAATACAAAACTAATGTTGTCTGAAATTCCGGCCATATAGGTTTTATATATGCATATGCAAAGCATCTCGATTACATAAATTCTATCGAATGACTTAAACTTGAATTGCGTCGGGCTAACATCTTATCTTGCTTGTATACCAAATGTTTTGAATCCATTGTCGATTAGATGGCGCTCAGATATCAAATCACTTGTCTGTGACTGCGGCCTTCAATTGTTATTAAAACGTTCTTATCAGCAAATATACTTGTATTGTAAAAATTTATTTCTTTTGTTCGCTTATCTACTCCACCTATTATAATATGACTTTTTTGTGATAATACAGATGAACAGAGACTTAAGTAAGGGGGCGTAGAGAGGTTTTAACCCTTCAATAAATTTGTATTATTGACTAAAAATTTTTTTCTAATTCGAATGCAACAGTAGAAGAAAGACTCTTCTGGCAGATTTTTAAATATTACAAACTGATGGATCAAAATCAAGTCAATTAAATAAAATATTAGTGTACCACTAGAAAAATAATAAAAACATGATAATTAGTATTTTAATGTTTAAACATTGTTCCACTTTAAATTGTAAAAAAAATTTTAATCCCAAATACCGGATTGAAATATAAAATATAAAAATTTTAGTCTTATGCATATAATTTAGAATTAAAAAATAGAATTTTCTTTAGAATACGGTGTTCATTCAAAGCCAAAAGTATTATTTTCAATTTTCAAGTTTGAACCCTTTATTGTCCTTTCTTCAATCTACTGTCAAAACACGTCGCAATGCATTCCTCAAATTTCAATATATCTAGTCGAGCCATAAATTCTGTAAGAAAGTTTAGGATACCTACAGCGAGGACAAATTTTCAGAAAAAAGTGCCGCTATTTTTAGACCCTGAAGAGGGTTTATTAAGTTTGCTACAAAGTTTATCCGTATAACACCCAGAATGAAACGTCGGAGACCCTATAAATGGTATATATAAATTATTAGCGTGGCGAGCTGACTCGATTTAGCCACACAGTTATCGGAACCACCGATATTGGACCTCTCTAGCTGCCATACATGTTATTGTCTAAAATAATGGTGGAATCTTTTGTACTTGTGAAGAATATTATAGCTTCAGAATCGAGATGATCTCCACATGTAAGATAACGTTCTGACAACGCGCTTGAAGCGAATTTGGTTCCACAGATGCAAGCAGCTTATTCAGTAGCAGGAGGTCAACGAACATGAAAGTACCTTAATTATCACAAAATCTACGTAAAAACTTTCGAAGACCCAAAAAAAAATGTCATTCCAAGGGTTTATCGTGGACACCACCAAGCTGCTGAAATGGTTCACTTCTGTGAAAAATGGGTTAAAGCTGAGGCAAAAGTGTACCAGCAAGATGTTTTAGAAGGCGTGGTTTTATTCCAGCGAGATTCTGCTTCAGCACACAAGACAAAAACCCAAGGAATGGCTTAAAAGCAATATTTCTGGTTTCATAGTTGCAGATGATTGGCCGTCTGGAAGTCCAGATTTAAATCCATTGGACTACAGTTTTTGATCAGAGTTGAAGAACATGGTCAGTCGAAAATACCCCAAAAAAATCAAAAAATCATTGGTTTGAGGAAGGTCGGCAATACCAATAGAAACTGTGCGTGCTGCTACTGATCAATTGTCGAATCGTTTGAGGGCTTGTGTAAAGGCAAAAGCTGACCATTTCGAATAAAATTTTGTACAACACTCATTTAATACTATATTCATTATTAAATAAAATTATTAACTTTATTACTAGTAACAGAACTTATGGCAGGACTAAGTATTCTTTTAAATTTCTTTTAAGCATTATACGTAAATTTTATATTTTTCAGATAATTGAAAAAAGTTTACAACCTTATGTTGCCAAAATTACTATGACCAGCTCTATACTGAGTAATGTATGGCCGGGAATTCTAGTACTATTTGTTGGACCCTGGTCGGATAAATTCGGACGTCGACCAGTGCTGTTGGTCACTTTCACCGGTACATACAAAAAAAAAAGCTTAGTCATCTTGGAAAAAGTGTATATATTTAATCATTTGATTTAATTAAACAGCTTTGTTCCTTGGGCAAGTTATAACAACAATCTTAGTTAGTTTTTCGAAAGAGCTATCACTAAATCCCTGGTTCTATCTGTTGGCTAGCATACCGTCCACGCTGGTTGGCGGCGGCTGCTCTATGATAACAATCGTGTTCTGTTATATATCTGATGTAAGCGATATAGAAAATAAAGCAAAGCGGTAAGTAGCCGAAAATGGCATGGAAACCTCATGCTTTAGATAATTTCATTATATTACTATTTTAGAATGTTCTATGTGGATATGGCAATGGGTTTGGGTGTAGTGCTTGGCAACATTTGTAGTAGTTACTTGTTGCGTCTAACAAATACTACAATAGTCTGCGCTATATCTGCTACACTCGTATTCATCGCTTTGATGTATATTTTGTTTTTCATTGCTGAAAGTTTAGAGGTTGAAGAAACTACCTTTGCGGTGAGTAACAAAAGAATTTACTGTATTCAAATGTTACGTTTAACTTGTTGCTTTATTTGTATTTTAGTATAAAGCAAAACACTTTTTTGATGTGCGTTTAATCAAGGATCTCGTGAAGACTTGTGCGACGCGGCGTCCGAATTATGGACGAGCGATCATTGGTTGTACAATTTCCATTTTAATTGTATCAAATTTCGCTTTAAGTGAGTAGAAAATGTATATTTAGACATACATACATACTATATTCAGGGTTGCAAATTTTTTAATAGAAAAACGTCGCATTAAAAATTCGATTTTTAATTATTTATTCGAATTTTGGGGTTAAGAATTATTAAAATTTCAAGTATAACAGTTTTGTTCACCTAATGGTTGTTTGTAACACATTAAACCAATAGAGATAGATATAGACTTATGTATATATGTATAAATGATCAGGATGACGTGACGAGTTGAAATCCGGTTGACTGTCTGTCCGTCCGTCCGTCTATTCGTGCAAGCTGTAACTTGTGTAAAAATTGAGATATCGTCTTGAAACTTTGCACACGTGTTCCCTAGTCAAATCGGGAGTTTTATAGAAAACCTATTAATTGCCATAACTAAAACGCAAATTAAGATACAAAACCGTAATTTGGTACAACGAATCGCACTAAGGAGGCGGACCTGTAGTTTGAAAATCTATAAAAAAAAGTGGGTGTGGCCCACTAATAGATTTAATGTACATATCTCACAAACTATTCAAGCTATATCATCCAAATTTGTGCAGGCCAAATCCTTTGGATACTTCTTACAACGTTGTGAACATATGTGAAATCGGATGGTAACCCCGATCACTCCTCATATAACGGTTTTGTTGAAAACTACTACAAGTGCGATTTGTCAGAGACAGTAAATTTTGCATCCGAGATGCCGCAAGAGGGTTTTATAAGAGCCGGCGTCAAAATTGGACAATAGGCGTGGCCCCGTCCACCTTTAGGTGAAATCACATATCTACGGACCTATTCAACCAAAATCATCATACTGACATTTCTATGTAACAGTGGGAAAATGGGCGATCTCGGACTAAAAGCACGCCTTCTTACCATATAATACAAATTTATATTCCATCCAATTCTTTCGCTTTCCAGTGCTAAAAATTGTCAAAATCGGACCATATCTGTTCAAGCTCACATATACCGAAGATGAGGACCTTAGTCCCTATGGCTGACTTTTTACCGAAACTATCGGTCAATGTGTGATATATATACATAATTGAAAGAACCCTTTTCTGATATTGATATGACTGTGTGTCAAAAATGGTTTGAATCGGGTCAATAATTCCTTTAGCCATCATTTACCTAATAGAAATGTTGTTGAACTTCTGGCTGACTTTATACCCCATATATATCGGCCAATGTGTGCGTTATCTTAACTCACGCGATTGCGCGTATTTTTCTAATAATAGTGTATCTTTGCGCCTAAAATGTTTAAAATTGGGTAAAAACTTGTCCTAGCCCCCAAATAACTAATATCTGGATAAGATATCTTAGTAAAAATAACTGAAGGTATAATATTGGATATGTTATTAATTTATCCCGAAAATATATGAAACTAGGCGACCTCCGCTGCGCTCCGGGACGCTCGCTTCGCTCGCTAGCCTACGTGCGCCCCCCGCCGAGCGCGAGCTAGCTCGCTCTTATGTTAGTTGATTCTCGACAGCAGCAGAAAACTTTTATATATAATAGAGAGATTAGTCTACGAATTACTCCAATTCCCAAATATTACATATAATTTTTCTCGGAATTCTAAAAACCCTTACGCCGAATATGGTCAATGTGTGAGTAATGCCAAAGGTTAATGCAATAAGCCCAGGTCTTTCTCTGGATCCAATATACCCTGTATAGTTACTTCCGACTTTCGCACTGAATGATGATGAAATGAAAAAAAAATCATTGAACTATTAAAATGTAAACAAAGAGGTCAGTGACCTCGGCAAAATGTTAACAAATGGGCAATTGACCACACAAAATGTAAACAAAAGGGTCATTGACCTCATAAAATGTAAACGCAGGTTATTGACTTGACTAAATGTAAACAAAAGGGCTATTGATCTCATAACATGTAAACAAAAGGGTAAAACAAATTGCCCACGTTTTTTTTTTATAAGAAACTGTTCATTTCTCGGAACCGCCAGGATCGGACAACTATTATATACAGCTGCAGTACAAACTAATCGATCACTATCAAGATAAATATCTTTCAATACCTTTTTATGCTATAAGAAATGCCCTTGTAAAGGGTATTAAAGCTTCGTTGAAATTGACGTATTGTTCTTGTTTAATATAAAGTTTTGCTACAATTGAACGTATTACCCTTGCATTGATCCTTGCAAGTGGCACGAGTTTAAAATGTTCGAACCCGAACTTAGCGCTTCCTTACTTGTTGAAAATAAAGTTTTTTCATTCCGGTGTTTGGGATTAACATTTTTTTTCAATCCGGTATATGAGATGCAACATTTTTTCTTTTTTTGTATTTTTCAATCAGGTATTTCGGACCAAAAGTTTAATCGTTATTTTTAATTAAGATTTTCGGTGGTATAAAATTAAAAAAAAAATAATTCAAATGTTAATTCAATTATTTTTCAAATGCATTATTTGCAACCCTACAGATATCTATTATTTAATTCACATTTCATATATTATATTCCAACATCTAGCGGGTGAGCTCGGCGTCTTCTACCTGTTCTTGCGCAACAAATTCAATGTTACATTGCAACAGTTTACCTACTATAATGCTGTTGGCATCACAATTAAAATGGTTGGTTGTGCAGTTGCCTTCGGCGTGTTCAGAAATGTAAATTTATATTAACAAATGTTTATGTTACAGTTATAATATTTATTTTATTTTAGCTCTTAAAAATATCATTTTCGGCTATTGCTATGATTGGTTTATTTGGTTGTATTTTGGATACTCTAACGCGCGGTTTAGCTCAGCAGTTTTGGCAAATGTATATGGCCGCCGCCTTAGGACTAATGTCCGGCATAACAGGGCCAATGTTGCAATCAATCGTTTCATTAGCAGTACCACCAAATGAAATTGGTATAAAATCACGGAAAACGGTGAAAACCAAATTGATATTTTAACAAGCTGATCTACATCTTTTTAGGCAAAATTTACTCGCTGGCGTCATGTCTGCAAACACTTTCACCATTGGTTTCTGCGCCTCTATATACATTAGTCTACAATAGTACCTTAAACTTTTACCCTGGATTGTATAATTTTATCAGCACAGGATTGTATGTGGAGTGCCTCTGTGTTATGGTGTAAGTTAAAAAAGATTTGTTGACTTTCTCTAACAGTTATGTTGTAATATATACACATACTAATATACTTTTCCTATATATGTTTTCTACTTAGACTCATTTACATTTTCGAACGACGAGTGAAAAATGAAGAAACTGAGAGACCTGCAACGGATAGTACAACTACTCAAAAGACATAAACAACTCAGTTACATTAAAATATTTATATCTTCAAAGAGTGATTATTGATATTTTATACATATTTTTGTATTGTAAGGAAAATCAGTTTTAGTTAGTTAGTAAGCAGTATTTATAAGAAAATAAATTGTATGCCAAAATATGCTGCTTTCTAAAATCTATTATTATCTAGTGATGCCTGCTTGGATGTAAAGGTTCAGGTTGGCTGTCATCGAAATCAACTAAAGGTCGGCCCAGGAAACGTTCTATTGCAACGGGGTCGGACCAAAGGGAGAGGGGTGTTTGATGAGTAGGGTTTGCTGGGCACGCAAAGAGGTGGTTAGAGCCATGAGACTCATTGCACACTGGGCATACATACATATGTGTGTATATTTGATATGTCGGGGTCGATTCTGTATAAGTAAAAATTGAACATGCTATAGTATACAGAACGAAGTTGCGCAAGGGTTACAGAGTTATACTCTTTTTTTTACAGAGTATTATAGTTTTGTTCACTTCACGGTTGTTTGTATCACCCAAAACTGATCGAGATAGATATGGAATTATACATATAGTATATACATATAATGCGGTCAAATTCTTTGTAGTGTGCAAACGTAGAAGAGGAAAATAACACCTTTAAAAAAAAAAAATGTATATCACACAAGTAAAAGCCCAAACGGTATATAAAACACATCACAAAAAATACTAATTGTTTAACTCATTTCAATAAATTATAATTATATTAAAAAATTACGAGAAATTTCATTGGTCAAAAACTTAGTATTGTAACAAAATGTTTTTTTTTTTAATTTTTGTTAATAAATTGCATTTTGTATTTTAATGAAGGTAGCATTTAGTTGCGTGACCTTTATTTTTTAATATTGCAGCACAGCGTCGTGGCATTGAGTCAAGTTATTGGCATCTTTCGATGGAAATAGACTCCCAGCAACTTTACTTGTGTGTTTGGGATCATTCTCTTACTGGAACGTCCAAACAAGCTGCATTTCTTCACTGCATACGGCAGCATGGTGCTCTGTAACATTGCGGCATAGAAGTCACCAGTCATGTCTTTCTTAATGGAATAAGGCATATATAAGGCCCAAACCATGATAATCACGCCTCCGCCTTTTACCGTTGTACGTCACGTTGTTGTGTATTTCGGCTGGTATTCGGGAGGAAGTCATACTTATTGACGCGATCCCTTTCCACCATACATAACTATCGATTGGTCCGACCATAAATAGTTGCGCCATTTTGTCAAAAACCAATTTAAATGTTCTTAGGCGTATCTTGGCATTTTCCCCCATGCGTTTTAGGCAACTTTTCTGGGACCACGGGCACCCAGGTAGTGATCGCGAAAACGCCGGCGTACAGTTCCAATACTTATAGTTACAATAAAGGCGTCTTTAATCTCGGTAGCAGCTCTAAATGGCAACTGCTTTGAGTATCTGACGATGGATTTTGTTTTTTTTCGACATTGCTGGCTTCCTTTCACGTTTTTTATTACTTGGTTGGTACCTGATAGCATTAAGTACCATTGTGGGTAAGCAACCAATAATATTTTAGACTTCCACATACGATTTACCCTCAGATATCAATTTTGTTTTATCAGGGCGATCTTTTCGACACATTGTTTATTTTTCGATATTAAAAACAAAAATTTCTTGTGAATAAAGAAATCTCACCGTTATTTTCAAAATTTCAAAAAGATTTACACATAATTTTAATTTTTCTAACACTTTGTGTGAAACACTGCTAAGATTTTAACTGACCGAAAAAGTATGTATATAAATATATACATAAGTTGAGAACTTCTAAAAGTCAGATAACTAAATAAGTAAATACCTCATAACATTTAAACACATTTTTAATTCATGTGATTCTTTCACTTTACGATATACACATATGTAAATCGTGAGCCAGTGTTGTTATTGAAATAAAACTTTGCATACAAAGTGTATTTAAGGTATGTAATCTTAGACCAAAAATAGTCGAAATCAGACCACGTCCGCGGATATCGTATAGGTGATTCTCAGTGATTATGACAGACTTTTTACCGAAAATATCGGACAATCTCTGAGGTACCTTAATGAAACTTAGATAGCATCTCTTTCTATAACCAATATGTCGTAATGTCAACATTGGATAACATTGGTAACCTCCATATACCTAATAGAAAGATTTTAGAACTTTATGCACTTTATATCATAAATAACAGTCAATATAGATAACTTAAAGAAATTTAAAGAGCGTCTCGCTCAATAACAATATTTTCTTGTTCCTAAAATATTTAAAAATCTGCTCATTAATAACACCAGTCTCCATATACCTAATATACGAATTCAAAACTCCCGGTTAAACTTATAGCGTAAATATTTGTCTGTAGTATATGCATAAAAATTAATAGTACAATATATTCATTTTGCTAATACTTAATTCCGAAAATCTGTGTGGGATATTTAAAGTGCCCTGAAGACGGTCAAATAATTCCATAAACGTTTTGAATGTATTGGTGTCGTCGGCTTTTGTCAAGGTTCTTTCGCATCAAACTTTTTACCGCAATACCTTGGTGTTGGACCGATCAGGGTTATTTTTTTAAAGCGCGGCCGAAAGCCCCCAGTGTGGAAAAGAGTTCGACGATCTCCTTTATCCGCCCAAACCATCAGCTCACAGCGCAAAAGAAATCATAACATTGTTTCAATATTTTTTTATCACAAGATCTAACTCGTTGAACTTGTAATTACAGCTAAGTGATCTGTATTTTACAGAACTCTGCAACTAAGTTACTTAAAAAATATCTGTTAAATATATTTATGCATATATAGTATATATATAAATTATTGAGATTCACTTTCCGCTCACGGATTTGCCATATTCGCGTCAAAATAAGACTATTAAAATAAGTAAAGTTTTCGCGAGTTCCTTCGTTGGGGGACCTAAACTAAACATTTATCCCTTCCTTGTTATATTTTTGTTTGAATCAAATTTTAAAGTTTCTGTTTTATTACGCAAATATACATACATACTATGTACTACATATTTACAAGTTATTATTACGCACATACCTATGTACATACTTAATAGGCATTTTATGCGTAAAGTCAAGGTCACAAAACTGTCTACAAAGCCATATTCATGCTTTTAGGTAAATTCTAAACTAATTATAAGATATAATTAAACTACTTACATATGTATTTATTTCCAATCCTTGTGACGTGCTTTTGGTTTTACATTTCACATAATATTTACAAACACTAATAACTAATAACTAATATCATTAATTATCAATTATGCGTCTTCTAAACACTTCATAGAACATAATTTTTAGCACTGCATATTATAAACTAAATCATTTACTTTTTATTAAAACTTTTCCACTTTTCACAAAAATTAATCACACAAGAAAATTTAGAAGCGCGCCAATAACGGTACTTGAATATACCCCTATTTTGACACACACACACGCTTTAGCACGCATTTCCCTACAAACTGCTGAAGGTCAACAAACAGCTGATTTTTGACAGCTATCAACCAGCAATATTCCCACTATTTTCGCGTTTGTTATGTGTTTTTGCATTCTCCTTAAATTAGCAAATTAAAACGCAAAACAAACGAGGTAGTAGAAAAATTAAATCTTTAACATCATAAAATCATTGTAAACAAAGGAATTGAGAATTTTAAATTTATGAATACAAAGGCAAATAATCATGAAATAGTTAAAATCAAACTATTAAGTGACGATAAATGCAAGTAATAATACCAAATAGTGAGTAACTGCGTCACCTTAAAAGTGGAAACTTTCACAAATCGTATGAAATCACTGATGCAAAAAGGTTTCAGCTCAGTCTGTGTTTGGAAGTCGGTCGTGCTTAAAGCTGCTGCAGCAATTTAAATATTAATATTCAGCAGGACAAAGAATATAAAAGGCGAATGCCACTTTGACGAGAGACAGTTAACGACAGCAGAGTTTCATAATTTGTCAAACTGAATGCATAAATAACACCAAGTCACCAAATGAAAAACAATAATATAATGAGTTTATAGTATTTATGTACTTAAAATTTATACCAAATTGAGAGCAACATAATCCAGTGACTAATCAAACCGAACATAAATTATACTGCCTTATTGTCGATTATGCGATAAACATTAATATAAAGACGAAAATTAATATACAATAAATAAGTAAAATAGCAAAATGAGTTCCGACGAAGAGAGCTTGTACGATCCTGAAGCGGCTGAGGAAACGACTCAGGTGCTGGATGCGACTGTAATTGGCGTGCGCAACAACGGCGACACACCGTCTACTGCAACCGCACATAGCAGTAAGTCAAGTAGTAGCCAAGGTGAGGAAACCGCTAGTAAAGATGATATACCAATTGCAACCGACAGCACAATATATCCAGCGCCCCGCAGACGTTGGTTCATATTAGAGCCCGCAGTGTTTTTGGTTTTTCTCGCTATGTATTTATCAGGTATTTTGCAATTGTTTTTATGCTTAAAATAGTATACTATTAAGATGTACTTTTTGTAATTTAAGGGGCGGTGTATCAAAATCAAGTTCTATATCAGACTTGTGTTGCTGTATACAAATACAATGAGAGTGATTGCCAGCCGCTGTTGGGTGTTAGCAGGGAAACAAAAGAGGCGGAGGTAAGTAATATTTGTATTGTTAGGTTTCTAATTACTATAATTGACAAGTGTTTGCTGGCTAAGATCGTTAACATGTTTTAATTTTGTTAGTCATGATTTAGGCATTGCATTCTTTTGGGTTATTATACACTAAAGAAGATATTTACAGTTTGTCATGAAGTTTGTAACACCCAGAAAGAAGCGTCGGAGATTCTATTAAATATATATATGTATATAATTGATCAGTATGATGTTTGTTTGTCTGTCTGTATATACGCGAACTTGTCCATTAGTTTTGGAGATATATTTCTTTCTACAAAAGTAAAAAAAAAACTTTGCGTCAATAAGTAATAAAGTATTTAGAAGTAAATAATATATGCAGTTAGGTTATAGAAATATAATCAATGAGCAAGTGCAGCAAACGGCTGAGTTTAAGTATTATATTTGCAAATGCATTTAATTAAGCCCATTCACTCAGCGTAATGGATTATTTAATTTACTATATAGTTTTATAAGTGTGCGCTTTTGTGACACATTTAAATAGATAAGCACTATGTAGGGCGTACACAGATGCATTTTCTTATCACCACAAAAGCTTAATATTATTTAAACAATAGAAATGCATAAAAGAATATTATTTTTAATTAGCAATAATGTTGCATTAAAATCCGGTGCAATGCATCTAATCTATAAATATATGTGTATATATATGTATGCACTTTTATGTTAATCATTAACTAATGCGATGAGTAGAGACTTGCTTGCACGTGTTTGTGTGTCTATGCACTTTTGTAAAATGGGTCAATGTGCAATAAAAAAACTATATTGTTAAATATAAGTAGACAACTTTATAATGGAAAATAGGCCATAAAATAGAAATAAATCAATGCAAAAAGGGCACCCCAGCAATGAGTGCCTATAAAAACTAATACTAATAAAAAATATATATGTCTGTACATATAAACAATTTTTTTTATAAATGTGCTCATTATTTACTCATATATCGCGCAGCACTTTGTTTAAATAAGGAAATATTTCTCTATATTAACATACATATATGAAAATATGCAGCCATAAACCTTTTTGTTTATATTTAATTATTTTAATTTTTTTGTTTATTTGCCGTAGGAAATCGAAACTCGCGTCCAACCATATGTTGCGCGGATTCTGATGGCGCGCTCGCTTTTGGAAAGCATTATACCGGCATTTGTTAGCTTATTTGTCGGTCCATGGTCGGATAAGTTTGGACGACGTCCAATCATACTCGCAACATATACGGGTAAGTTTAGCTTGGTTTTCGAGAGATTACCACTAATAAAATATAAATATTATTGGAGTATACTGTATACTTATGTTTAAATTTCTTATCAAATGTCTGTAATCTGTCAGTAAAGTTTTTATGCAAGTAATTGCTTACATATATATATAGGTACATAAAGAATATTACATAAATATAGTAAGTAAAACGAGAATAAAAAGCCAGTATATTTGGATATACTCGTATGATTTGAACGAGTTACTTATATGTTACATATTAATGCAACTTATAGAAATGAGTGAGCAATAAACTTTTCGACAGAAGTTTAAAGAGAGCGTAGTCTCCACTCGGTGAGTCATAGAGTCGAAACTATTTATATTAAGAAATAAATATTGATAACAACAACACATTTTTGTTGGGCGTTAGGAGCTTCAACTCATCATCTGTGAGCAACATCTCGAGTACAGTTATTATTGTGCAAAAAATAATAATAATAGTAAGTACCTTAGCTTAACATCTGTCAGCAAAATATCTGGTACAATTATACAAAATAAAAAAATAAGATTTATAAATAATTTGTCAGTATCTGCGCTTTTGTTATGACAGGTTATAATTAAAGCGATTATTTTGTGTTTCACCTAATATATTTTACAATTAATAATAAAACAATGTTTAAACATTAGATGACATGAATATATATTTATAAGGCCCAAAAGGAAACGTCAGAGGTCCTATAAAGTATATGTATATAAACGATCAAATACATGTTCTTGTATGAAAAACCTTTTTAATTGACAAGATATTTTGATATTTTCTCGACATTTAGCATGAATTATTATGAAAGGCAAGGCTACAATCTTCGAAGAAATTATTCAGATCGGACCTCTATAGCATATAGCTACTATACAAACTGATCGATCAAAATTCGCTCCTTGTAGGAAATACTTTTTTATTTGACGAGATATATTCACGAAATTAGGCTTGGATTATTATGCAAAGCAACGATATAATCTCCGAAGAAATTGTTCAGATTGGACTACTATAACACATAGCTACCATACAAACTGATCGATCAAAATCCAGTCCTTGTAGATAAAACTTTTTTATTTGACGAGATATTTATTACGAAACTTGACTTGAATTCATTTTCATTTTCAAGACAAGAGTACAAACTCCGAACAAACTAATCGATAAAAATTAAATTATTTTACGGAAACTTTTTTTATATGTGAAGGGTATTATAGTTTACGTTTTTTCTAGTTTAATTGTCATATTTTTACTATTTTTCTAATAGTGCGTTATTCTTTTTACCAGGTTACCTCACCGGCTGTATAATTTTGGCGATTTTAGCTTTTATTGCAACCAAAGTCGTAATTAGCCCTTGGCTATTTCTACTATCTTCGGTACCTTCAGTGATTAGTGGTGGCACCTGTGCGCTAATTACCGGTATATATTGCTACATATCGGATGTAGCCAAGGAGAAAGCTCGAGCAGTGCGGTAAGAAAAATATTTTTTTATATTTTTATATAATATATTACCATGACAGTTGGGACGATACCAAATATTTATAAGGCCGAGCACTGTCAATATTCGCCAATTTTCTACAAAGTTATTTGAGCATAATTTTATTACAACTATTTATAATTGTTTATATTAATAAAGTTTTCCTCCCTTTCAGTATGGTGCTGAATGAAGCATCACTATTGGCCGGCATGATGGTTGGCAATGTTTTGAGCGGCTATGTGTACGCAGCAACAAACGTTGTGACTGTCTTCGCAATTTCAGCACTGCTGATGTTACTCGCCTTATTATATGTGTTCATATTTGTGGTGGAAAGTCTGCGACCCGATCAAATACACACGGGTGTAAGTGTTAATCACAGTGTTCAACATTAGAATTTATATTTTTTACCGTTATATATCTTTTTTAGTCCAAAATACGCGAATTCTTCCGTTTCGATTTGGTGAAGGATTTAGTACACACATGCTTCGAACGACGACCCAGCTACGATCGCGCCATTATTTGGCTTACAATGATTACACTGACAATTGCATTATTCACCATGGGTAAGTATTCGTGCACGCATACATACTTATATATATATCCTATGTGTATATAATTTTGAATTGTATTTTTAACTTTCCACAGAGGGTGACAGCAACGTATCGTATCTCTTCTTCCGCGCGAAATTCGAATGGACGCTGAAGGATTATACGCTCTTCAATGCAGCGCGCATCGTTGTGCAAATAATTGGCAGTATTTTCGGTTTGATTTTATTGCGAAAAGTAAGCTTTTATTGTTTGCGGTCACTTGTTCTCTAAACATCTTTAAATGTATATTCAATAGGTTTTAAAATTCTCAATTGTCTCAATGACTATGCTATCCCTGGCTTGCTGTGTTTTGGAGAGCACAGTACGCGCCACTGCCATGTATTGGTGGGAGCTCTATTTGGGCATGGTGCTCGGCGGTATGCGCGGCATAATGGGTCCTATGGCACGTGCCATACTCTCACATGTGGCGCCGCCAACGGAAGTTGGTAAGTATTATATATTTTTTTTTCTAAATATTTTTATTTTTATCTCTCCCATAAAATAAAATCAGGTAAAATATTCGCATTCACCACTTCGTTGGAGTCGCTTTCACCACTCGGCGCTGCGCCGCTCTACACAACGGTTTATAATGCGACAATCGGTTTTTATCCAGGCATTTTCAATTTTATCAGCGCCGGTCTCTATTTGCTTTGCTTCACACTGATTGCGTAAGTTTACCGTGTTTTTTGTTTGATAGAACTTTGATTATTTTAATTATAAAATAATTGCTCGTTATTATTTTGTTTGCTTCAGTGTAATTTACAGTATTCAGAAGTCATTGGGCAATACTGCGGCTTATCAAGCGATCGGCAGTTAAAAATGATGTCACAAAGTTGTTATACCCGTACATACATATATATATAATATAATTTCCTTTTTTTGTTTGTGATTAACGTATGATAATGTTTATACGTATTTTGTTAGCTAATTGTCGCATGTGATGTGGAAATACTTACTAAGTATTATTTTAAAGTGTAAAATAAAAAAAGGAAATTTATAGAACGTTATATAAAATATATATTTTTATAGCAAAAATGTGTATTGTTTTTTAAACATTTTTCTTTGTGAAGATATTAGCAGTTGTAAGTTATATTTATAACACAAATCTCAATATATGTAGCACTCTGCAGTATTTAAGAAAACAAGCAACATACATATCTAAAATAATCAAGTAAAATGTAAAATATTATATGCGTGCTTCCACAATATAAAGTTCAATTTCAGGCATATTCGGAAGATATATTTTTTAGTTTTAAAATATACATATATGTTTGTCACAAAGAAGCTACGGTTTTTTTTACGATACAGGCTTAGTATATCCGAATTAAAAAAATCTGTATATACGTATATACCAAAACACGACTCAGCAAAAGTTTTTAATAAAAATATAAACATTTTAAAATC